AAGATTATTGATTAAATATTCTCTCTATAATAGTTGTCAATAGTTTTCTGGATAAGAAACAATTCAACAGGCACATTTTCCAATAAAAACTTACGTAAAAATTGACAATCGCGCTCGGTCTCTTTGCGCGACTGCAGTTTCTGGATCCGTTTCCATTTTTCGCAAAAATAAGAAAAAACTCACGAAATACTAACGTTGAACGATCGGTCAAATTTTCGAATAAATGAAGACCGTGTTGTAGAGCAAAAAGGAGACGAGCAGCATGCAGTGCACACGCCCAGATGCACCGAGAGAGATACGCAATGTGCGGTCGCCGATCACCGACTGTACGTTTCAACAATCCCACCTTCTGCCAGCTAGCGACCCTAAAGGAGGTGATAGAGGAAGAGAAGGAGAAGAGGAGGAAAAAGAGGTAGGGTGAAGCGCAGAGCGCGGGACGACGTAAGAAACTATGCACATCAGGATGTACAGTGTGCATATGTGCAATTTCATGTCGAGCACTTTACGAATCCTCGAATGTCACGGAGGAATGTTTTTTAAATTATTATCTATTATTATCTATTTTTTTTAGATTGCGTATTTTATTCGTGAATACACTCATAATTTCGCTCGACATTTAGTGTCAAATTTCTCAAATTTTCCAAATCTTCCGATTTCTTCTGAAGTTTTTAAATTACACAAAGCAATTAGCGAATATTTAACCTTTCCCTCGTGGACTGACTTCCAAAACAGCCTAGTCAGGAGACTGACTGGATCTGTGAGATCCACGCAACTTTAAAATCAAACATCTCCGCGAAAAAATCAATATTTTTTCAATTTTTTTTTAATCAAAAGTTTAAACAATTCTGCGTCGATCAAAAAATAAATTAGAAAAATCTCTAGTAGTCTCAAAGATGAAAGCGTTAAAAGAAAACTAATTTTAACTAGAAACCGGCTTGAAATTTTTAGGTGATTTCGCGAAATCTATGTCAGTCCACGGAGAGTTAATATTTAATTGTTGTTTAATATAAATTTAATGTAAAATATAATATAAAAATGAGTTTTTTATTGTTCGAAATTTTTGAATATTTTATCATAAATATTATTGTATTATTATGAAAAACAATTACAAAAAATCCTTCAACTACAACCTACTGAGTCTTGCAATATTTATAATGTTAATATAACATACCATGAAAGCATCAAACATCAGATTTATAATTTACGTAAAAAAAATTCGCAATATAATGATTCTCAGTAAGATAATAACTTTAATATAAAAAAATTTTCTGAGAATTGTTTGAGTTTATCAGGTAGAAGAGATTCTTTAAGAAATTCATTGAAATTTTTTAAGTTCTTTTCAGCTAGTGTATTGTTTATTTGATATTTCGATTGATTTATTCACTTTCGTCAATTTTATTTTACGGCTACATGGACTAGTTGTAATAACACACGTTCGAACGAAAAGAAAATTTTTTTGCGGAAACGTTTTCCGCGCATCAGAAACGCGATCGTTCTACTATGCCGAAACGCAAAACGTGTTATCTCTAAAAGTCGAAAGAGGGGAAAGCGTATGTCTACCGTGGCTGGACTGTTCGCTACCTTTTCTAGAATACAATCGTGTGCAAACGTACACACGATGTGTCGCCGTTATTAACACAGGCGTCGACAGAACATTTTTATCGGCCCGTATATACTTTTTGCTGCGGGCACAGCTGAGGAAAACAGGGAGAACATTACCAAGAAAACGCCATGGTAATCGCTGTGGTGTGTGTGTGTGTGTGTACATATAGATATATACATATGTACATATATATATGTATATATGTATACATATATATGTTATGTATATATATGTATATATAATATATAAAAGAACAGCTCAGACATTGTTTTTCTGCTTTTGACATTTGCTGAAAAAAGCAGATTAACATTGAAAATACAAATTTAACGAGAAAAAGACTTTTTATAAACGGTAAATCGAGGAATAGAAAACTATATATATATACATATTAAATATCTACGTTAAAATAATCGTCAAATTATAATATTTAATTGCGGATTAAATTGTCACAGAAACGTTTTACCATGGTTTTATTTCTGGTAATTTTGATTTTGATGATATGCTAAAAAAGTGTGTCAAACTTTCTCGCGTTCATCGAGGATTTTACTTGACGGTACATCACTCGATAGATTGTCTCTCGACAGAACTATGTATAAAAAACTGTTTTCGACAAAAAAACACAAAGAACAGGAAAAAGAAAGCAGAAGGTGATGCATACTACGAAATATACTATATCTATAGATTGGAACCTACAACATATTGTACTTTCAGTGTACAATAGTTACAGCAGTGTTATGCTAACGCGACATCCTAACGTTTGTAACGATGTTATTCTTCCGCTTATTCTCTTCTTTTACGCTCACGACACTTTCTACGCGCGCGCGCGTAATCGTATTCCCCCAATCTGCTTTAAAAGAACATTTTACGACGCCGTAACGTTTACGAAACCGTAAAATTTGAATAAAATCGGAGGCTAATTGCGACAAACGCGAGTCAAAAAACAAGCAACCCTCTCCCCAAAATAATTTATATTTTGTTAAAAACATTAGAACAAGCGAACGCTATTGAGTGACAACTAATAAAACTTAATCGAGAATATATGTATGTATAAATAATAATAACAATAGTTATGTGTATAATCACCAACCTTATGTGACAATTACTTGAAACTTTCTATCTGCCGAGCTTTATCGCACAAATGGCGCTTGTTGTAACTTCCGAAGCAAGCAAGCTCGTCCGACCTGTATTTATAGCCATCCGATTGAGAGTAGTCATAGTCACTATCGTGCTGAAAACTAAGCAACCCTAACTGTGTCGCGTACTTTATCGTGTTTCAGAGTGTTATCGGTGACAGTGAAACTGTGAGGGTTGTACGTGACTTACTAATCGAAATCGATCGGATGAATCAACTCTTACGCATCGTTATTATAACGTGAGAGACATTTTTTTTCATAGTCCGCGAATTTCCTGATTTTTTTAACTCGAAATATCCGAGCGAAATTGAAACAAATGAAATTATAAAAAAAAAAAACGCGAATATATCAACCAAATATACTTGTATTTTTTGTATATATCAGAAAACAAAAGAAGCACTCTTATCACATGATGTACATATATGATAAGCATCGTTAGCAGAGAACTTTTTCAATACGTCGGGTTTTTAATGGACTGTTCAAGGACTATTAAATCGTTGCACTCGCTAATATGTACGTAACACTACACGAACGATGAATCATCGCATCCTTCTACTTTCTGCCTTGCATTTTTTACCCGTATATTTCAAGGGAATTAGGAAATTGACACACTTTTTGATTTCCACGCTTCTGGCTTAACTGTCAAACGCGCAAGAAGTTAAAATTTATTAAAAATACACCATCGTTTTTTCTCAATCTACTGACAGATCAAGATTCTTTGAGGCCGTTCTGTTTGCCGTTTTCTTTTGTTGTTTTTTTTTTCATCGCAACGATATTTGATGATTATCTTGATATGCAAATGTAAAAGAAAAATATGATTCGCATTCCGTTAACGCAAACAAAACTTGAAATACATTTAGAATTAAAAAATAAGAATTAAAAAATAAGATGTATATATATACGTATACATATATGTACATGTATATATATCTTATCTATACATATATACTTGTATCTATATACGTATATATCTTATATATATGTTTATATAAAAGATATGGTTTTGGACATTCCACTTTCAGAAAACTTTGTGACACACGTCGTGACAAGTGAGAGGCCGATCCTTTGTTGATACAAGATACGTAATAAAGTATATGAACGCGAGTGTGTGCGTTACTTTCTTATCTTTCGTTCTTGAAATTAACACTTCAAGCACATATCCCTCACAATACGTAAGAGAAGCATAAAAGACAAATTTAAAAAATACAGCGGGTCAAAGACGCGATATACATTTTTCTATATGTTCGTATTTTTCTCTCGTTCACTTTGTTTTCTCCGCGAGTTATTTATATTTTCAATTGTTACTTATCATTTCGTGATACGCAGTGAATCATCGGAAGAAAGTTCGCTTCTAGTCTCAATTGCATTCCTAATGATCTAACAAAACGCGGCATTTTATCACGATTAAAAAACAAAAAATAAAATAAAATAAAATAAAACCGAAAATATATAATATCTCATGTCAATGAAATTATGTTTTCGAAGTTCACTCATCGATAGAACAAGAGCCCCTTATCTAGGTGCTGATAAAATGACCTTTTTTGCTATTAACATCTGCTATCACTATCTTTCTCCGCCAAACTAGTAATGCCAACGGCTAGGCTTTTATCGCTAGAGCGCAATTATTCCTAGTATATATGCAACACACACTTATATTTACATTATCGCGCTCAATTTAACAAGGAACGGAGTGACAAGTGAGCTAAGGACGATCCGCACAAGTTATTGTTGCGCAATAATGCCCAACAATATGGTTACAAATTATCGTGATAATAATTGCATCACACTTGAGTGTTATATTCGACTGTTATAAATCGCATAAAGAAAAAGAGAATCGGCGAGGAAAGGTGAGTAGTTGTCTTAACGACGCTAAAGCGGTTTATAGGTCACGTAATCGCGAGCAGTTCTTACATTGAGAAAAGGTGATAACCAATGCGTTGCGAACGTTCGCGAAAACATTTTAAACACACACACACACATACAAACCGCATTGTATATCATGTTGTGTCTTGAAAGAGAAACCAAACGTTGTGGCTTTACTCTTTTGCCGTTATACAATAACAATTGCGGCACTTCGCACGTTTTATAAATGATAAAAAAATTTTGTTCATGAAATTTTTTCGATTTTTTAAACACGCAAAGCACCGGCTTTGGCTACTGCTCGATGACAAAAATAGCGCGCTCGCTTTAATATACTGTTAACAGCATTCGCACAAAAAAAACTGTTCGTAAACATTACTCAATACAAGAAGATCTCGACTTACCGATTCCTTGGATCTTGCATTTATCTCAATGACAGTTCTCTGCAACTCGCAGTTCTGCCGGCGCAAGAGAGAAATCTGCGTGGAAACAAGAAACGAATCTTGTTCATTAAACTATTACACAATTAAAAAGCAATATGAAACTGTATCTCGAGAATTGTGATTGTTGCAATCAACCATGCCAATTTGTTTTCTTTTTCGTGCACGCAGTTTGTTTGCAGTTACACAGCGATTTTTGACCGATATTTTATTAACTCAACTATCGACGTAAAAAAAAAATTGACACAATGCATATACTGACGACAACAAAATAGTTTATTTGAAAACAAAGCGTGAATCATGTTAGTGATTATCTTGAATATATTTTTCAAGTGTCCATTAAACTTACGTGTGTACGTACTTTTTATTTCTGAAATCTAAAGAATTCTAAATATTTCAATAAGAATAAAAAAAAAAAAAAAAAACAATTGACGAACAAAAATATTTAACTTAAGCTCAAAAAATAAGCAATAGAAGTGTGTTTGACGCTTGATTTATGTGAATAAAGACGTATAAGTTTTGTAATTAAAAATAGATAAGACTTTAGATAACGAAAAATTTTGTCGAAAAATCTCATGGTATAATCGCGCGTTCGCGGTTTAAATATTAAGCACAGTCCAGAAGGAAGTCCGGTGGTGTACGCCATGGATACAGGACGCGCGCGATGCGCGTTTACATTCGCCGCTCTTATCTACGTTTGCATTACGATAATGGTCCCCACTTTCTGATCCTCGATTCGTTATCTCGTACGACCCCTAGGCACACCGCCGAAACCCCCCTTTTGCCACGTACAAAGTGTGTTTCTCGTTAGAAGCAATGTTGTAGATAGAGGCAAGTATGTGTATGTGCGTGTGTATGTTTGTGTGTGTACATACATAAAAGAGCGTCATTACTTTTTTTCTCAATTTTTGAGACAAATTTTATCAAGTCAGTGTTTTTCTTTTGCATAGAATCGCGACATAAGGCCATTATCCTTCACGATTTAAGAGACTCGAGATTGTAATATATTAAGATAAGATGAATGCGTGTTTGCTTTACACTTGTTCGCGATTATTAGGAAATGAGACATCTGTTAAAATAATTTCTAATCACACTCTATCAACACTTCTCTCTCTCTCTCTCTCTCTCTCTCTTTTATCGGACTAGTAGACATCTGCGCATACATTTATCAAATGACTTTCATCAATACAAAAAACATATCAGTGAGGTTGCTGTACTGAGGATCGTGTAAAAATTCAGATTAAGCTACGTACTGATCTTTTTTTTCTATCATTCTTTTTATTTTATTGATGGATGTAATTCGTTTTTTTTCATGTAAATAATAATCACGTTTTAAAATAATAATCACGGCTGCTACTTCATAATTGCTATTTTAAAATGTATAAAATATACTTGCCTCTGCATCTTTTGAATTGAGCAGATCCTCCAGTTGACTACATCTTTCGTTTGCTTCGTTCAACGCCTTCGATCGTTCGTCTGGAAATAGACAAACCGGTAATTCTCGGTGGTCTATAATTTTTAAACGATATTAAAAAAATTATATGTTATTTTTAAAAGTAATAATGAATAAAAATTTAAAACACATAATATTATAAATAACATAAATATTCTCGATTTAGATTTTATTAAATAAGTGTATACATGTAATATCTTATCGTATTCTGTGCGACATATAATTGAAATAAAACATATATTTTCTTTATAGTAATTTACAGCATAAACATTTATCGTTGTTGTCGCATGTCTTGTTTGTATAAACCGCCGAAAGTTTCTCGATCGGTAAGACAGAACTGTCATCTGACAGTTATTATAACAGATCTCGTGACATGCTGCGGTAACAAAACTACCAAGACATCTCACACAAAACGCGCTGCAACAGTAATAAATTTATACAAACCTAATTCTTCAACGACGCCGTCGGATAAAACTTTTGTGAAATTCGTGATTTGTCCCTTTAAATTCGAGAGACTGGATAAGCTCTCACCGAACCATGCCATTTCTCGTGTTGGTGATTAACGTTACTCGAGTGCTTGATAAACGAGAATGACATTTATTTACTGATCACGACAATAACACATTGTACTCGATAATATAAGTTGTTTGTCATTTGCACAATTGTCAAACATGCCACCACGTATTCACACGTACACACTAACCTTCGCGAGTAATAACAATGCCTCACCGCATGATCGACAATATCGCGCGAAAAATTCCCTAGGCACGTCTGTGAGTTGCTGCATTTTAAAATCTTTCTACATTAATCACAAGACGCAAACGCAAGAATCAGATCTTACAGAATTGACTAATCGCATTGGTAAAATCAGTCTATTGACCAACGTGATTGGTTAATTCAGCGCGAGATCCGCTACTTGCGTTTGTAAGCGAGATTAATGTAAAACGACCTTTAACTATTATCGCCTTTTTTATGTATGTACCTTGTTCGCTAGCGCTAGTCTGTACTGTAGTTTAGTTTTGTTGAGAAGATAGGATCAAGGATAGAAGAAAAAAAAGATATATTTTTGTTACAGTAAGATTTTATAATTATTTTGTACTAAATTTCGAAATGGACGTGCCAGAGAATAATATAGATATGCCAGACAATAAAACAACAGAGGAAATTATAAATGAAATAAACAGTGCTATTGAGAATCCTGCTATGTTGAAGCTTAAGTTGCTGACTATGTTTGATGAAAAAAATAGTATGGATATACTTGGAAATTGTCAGTTACGGAAGAGAGTTATTAGAGAAGGAAAACCAAGTACAAGACCAGAGAGAGGTGATTTATGTGTATTAAATATTACAGGCCAACTTGAAAGCGACAAGATAGTAGATGTTCATAAGAACAAAGTAGTACAGTTAGGAGATTTTGAAGTGATAATGGTATTATATATTACTGCTTACTTGTAGCTTGCTTATTAAAATTCTGTTTATTAATTAATATTAATATTCAAATTTTTTATAGGGCTTAGATTTAGCACTTGCATTAATGGATGTCGGTGAAATTGCTCTGGTTTATGTTCATCCAAGATTTGCTTATGGAGAACAAGGAACAGAAGATATACCACCTAATTCCATTATTACATACATAATTGAATTGAAAAAAATTACAAGAGCACCTGAAATAGAAACACTAAACTTAAAAAAAAGAATGAACATAGGGTAAGGGAGTCTTATTCAAAACTCATAGCATATAATCTATAAATGTACTTTCTACTGTTAGACTATGTATACTTTATCTAAGGATAAAATTTCATGAAAGTACTGCTTTAAGTTTTTGTTATATGTTTGAATTTTTTATTTTATTTTTTCAAGGATTATTAAATATGAACGTGCAATCTTTTGGCGTGACCAAAAGGAGTGGATTTGTGCAGCTCACTGTTTTCGAAGAGCATTAGAGTACTTGAAAACAATCTTTCATTCACTATCAGGATTAGTTGATACAGATCCAGGAATTTCAGATATAGAAATTATGGTTGCGTTAGCTGAATCTAAAGATATGCACGAAAATGATATTGATTTACCAAAACTATTGCATTTGTGTTGGAAGTGTTATTATGAATTGTCAGATGTACTAGTGCAAATGCAATCTTTTACTGCAGCTTTAGAAACTATAAAAAATGCTCAAAGGCTCCAACCAATTTCAGTGCTAACATTATGTAGAAAAGGTAATATAAATTTTTATTTAATTCTTTATTATATGAAAGTATTGTATCTTTTTACTGATATTTTTCGTTTTGTGTTTGCTAGGAGTAGATTTAAAATGTAGATCTGTAACTATACAATTATAATAATTAAAACTATGAATATGCATTTTTTACAGCATTAATATTGAAAGAAATGGGTTGCTATGATGAGGCTTATTCGGCAATGCGTTACGCACAGAATTTAGATATAAAAAATGATAAATCTCATTTTACAATTTATATGAAGAACGAAATGAACATTATAAAAGCTAGACTTGATCAAGATAAGAAAAAAGAAAAACAATTATATCGTAAAATGCTGGGTTTGAGTTATAAAAATAGTGAAAAAAAAGATTTGGTCACTACTAGGCCACTAGAGAATAAGAAAAAAAGTACTACTAAAAAATGTGCTTGGACTATGCTATGGTGTCTGATAGGAGGAACATCTGTTGCTATTATTAGCATATTTATACACAAATATACAGATGTTCGTTTTAAATAACCAAAAAAAAAAAAAAAAAAAAGGGAAAACAGGAATATTGTAGATCACAGAAGTGTGATGAAACAGAAGTAGGTAATAAAACAAATTTATTATTTCTCTGGTGAAAGGAAATAGTATATGTAATTTATACGTAAAATAACTAAGTCAAAAATAACAAATAAAAGATTTTTAAAACTGATTAAAAACAAAACACTGATAATACATTTATTTTGTAAAACTTACATGACTTTTACTCATTTTGCATTATGTCTTTTCTTTCTCTCTTTCTCTCTCTTCCTCTTCTTTCTCTTTCTTTCCTATTTCTCTCTTTCTCTCGTCACATTATCACTTTTTTACTTGGATTTTTTAAGAGATACCAGCACACAACACAGGCGCGCGCTACGCGCACGCTATTGTTATTTTTATTTAACGTGTCAGTGAACACAACTTGTCACCGCGATGACAGATAGTATATACGTTTTATAAACCATATATAATACACACATATGAGAAATGTCAGAAATAACGCATGAAAATCAAACTCAAACAATAGTGAGAGAGAGAAGTGGAAAAACAACACGTGACTAAAAGTCATGTGACAGGGAAAAGGGTAAAAAAGAGAATATTATATATATTATATGTAATATTCTATATCTATATATAATACACACACATACGCATATATGTATATATATATATATATATATACCGTAATCACGTGACCGAAGTCAGTAACACCGTCGCGGTCGCTCGGCCGAGATCAGTGACTCCACCGCAGTCGCGTGACCGAGGTCATTGACCCCGCCAAGGCCGCGCGGCCGAGGTCAGTGACTCCACCGCAGTCACGCGACCGAGGTCAGTGACCTCCCCCCCCCACCAAGGCCGCGCGGCCGAGGTCAGTGCCCCGCCAAGGCCGCGCGACCGAGGTCAGTGATCCCGCCAAGGCCGCGCGGCCGAGGTCAATGACCCCGCCAAGGCCGCGCGGCCGAGGTCAGTGACATTACTGTAGTATGTATATAATACATATAAAACAATATAAAGTATAATATTATAAATATATAATAAATTATATGTATAATATGTATTATTTAATGTTATATATAATATAAATTACAGTCACGTTATTTTCACGTGTTGTTTTTCTACTCTTTCCTGTCACGTGACTTTAGTTTAATATAGGATTTTATGTTTATAATTTAGTCAATTCTACAAGATCTGCGACTTGTGTTTGTCGTTTATATCTTGCACTTGATATAAAACGGATTTTTTAAGCGTCGTTTGTGTTTATTGCTCTTTATATGTAGAACAAAGATAGACTGACGCTCAAAAAAAGTATACTAATGACAACTTTAAAAGTATGATTAAAGCATCTCTCTTTCTTATCTTATAAGACAAAATGTTTTTGTTTAAATTTGTGTATCTCATTTCTCTAATAAGCAATATTTTTACATATGGAAAAAATATAAATGTAAAAATTTCTTAAATATTAAATTATAGGGTAGAGACAAAAATCATTTTTATAAAATCTAATAATAACTTTCATTATGTGTCCATATATTTCTATATTTCTATGTTAACAAAATAACAGTATTTCTATAATCTATGTTTTACTTAAAAGCATAGAATAACACAATAATATTTAAAATTTGAATAAACACAACTATATAGCCAAAATATGTGCAGATATTTTTATTTTCTGTAATATCCTTAAATATTAAGAAATAATAAAAGTCTATGTTTTAAATAATTTTTTAAATAATTTTCTGTTTCTTTAGTTTATGGTTTCTAGTTTTTGGTTTATAAGTGAGAACAAATCTTCGATATTTTCCAATGATACTTCAGAGTGATTTGTACTGTTGGAATATGTTTGATCCGCATTTAAAGAAGTATCTTGAAATTCCACACTTTGACAATCGGATAGATTTAACATTTCATTGCAATTTGTTCCAAGTTGATCAGTTTGCTCAGTGGTAGATAATAAGTTCGGATTGGTGACTTCTATAGTAAGCAACTGTCCTGTATTTGTATCTACTGATGAAAGTACTTGTGGGTTAGAGGTAATGACAGATAAATTTGTCGGATCTAACGACGAGTTTGAATATTGCGAAAGTTCTTTACAGTTTGACAATGATTGTACTTGCAGCTGTAAATATGTATTTACAACTTGTTTATTTGCATTTACAGTTATGAATTCTTTTTCTTCGTCTTTTGCAACTAATATGCGCTTTTTTTTAAGTTTTACTTTAAGAGATGATAATTCTTTTGGTTGTTCCGGCACTGGAATAAGATGACCATCTTCCGTTTTCATGAGCTTCATCACCTGATTAAAGTTATAATTAAGTACACAAATTATATATGTATATACAGATTAAGATTATGCTATAGTTGCAAACTATTACCTTTTTCTTCTTTTGTAAAGTGATTCTGTGACAATTTTCCATGTGGCGAGTAAGATGATGCGACCGTTTAAATGCGGTGTTGCACTGTGTACAAGCAAATGGCCGATGTTGCTCATGTGACAATTTGTGTCTCTTAAGCAAGCTATTTCTCTTGAACGCTCTACCACATTCTTCGCAGATAAACTGTCGTTCTTTACTGTGAATATAAAGTACGTGATCTTTGAGAATACTAACGCTGGTAAACGTTTTGCCGCAATGTTCGCATACGACGTTCCGTTCTTCCACGTGCAATTGCTTATGCCGATCTAGATCCGTCCTTCTGGAGCACTGAAACGTACAACCGTACATGTTACACACAAATCGTTTTTCACCCTTGTGAATGCGTCTAATATGTTGATCGAGGGCTCTCTGCGTGATTAATTTTTTTGAGCAGATCATACACGAAAATATAGCCTTTATAGGTATATCTCTATTAACTTTACTAAGATGTAATGCAGATTCCAAGTGCCGAGAATAGTCATCCTTTTTTATAAATGTGTGTCTACAATTAACACAAAAATATGAACCTGTAAAATAACATTGTCAGACAATGAATTATAAAAAAACTGAATTCTATTTGTGTAAGTATTATAATTACCATTGTTTATCGGTTCTGGTTCATTTAATTTTAGCGGATGAGCCACTTTAAAGTGTTCGCGAGCTTTCTTTTTCGATGCAAAACTAACATCACAGTTTGGACACTTGTAGTTATCGTGATTTTGAAGGTGAGACAAATATGTTTGCTCGATGCTAAATATCTGCGAACATTGCTGACATTTAAATTGTTTTCTCTTGCAATGTTTTTCTTTATGTTCTTTTTTGTTAATATCCGTACTTATCATGTCTTCGCGTTTTGAACATATCTTATCAATTTGGTAACTATGTTTGTCTTTATGACGTTTCAATAGAGCGCGTTTGGGAAAACTTTTAGGACACGCGTCACACACATGAGGATATCTGACTGTCTTTTCTCCGTGCGCACGAAATAGGTGAACTTCCAGATGTTTTCGTCTGGCAAACTTTTCATTACAATGAGAACAATTATTTTTCTGATGACCCTCTAAATGACGATCCAAATGTCTTTTATACTTAAACATCATTAAACATTGTTCGCACTTCTGCAATTGTTCATTTTTATTGGATTGTTTTGAACAATCAATGTTTATTCCATGTTCAAATTTAGATGCAACATTTTGTCTTACGCAATTGTAATCTTTATTCATATTAGAATCTGTATTCAAGTCTACATCTTGATTGTTTTCTGTGTGAAATTCGGTGGAAAAATCATTGTTTTCTACTGATTGCGTTTTCTTGAAACACTGAGTTGTTAGATCTTTAAGCGAATACACTTTGTTAGTATTCATAGTTATTGTTATATCATTTGATTCTTTGTTTGAAGTACTCAAAAAATTTGAAAATGTATTATATTTCAAACTCATTGTGTCAAAATCTTCAATTGAGTTAGAAGTAGCAGCACTTACTAATAATAGTTCTTGTTTGATCTTGTTAGCTTTTGTAAAATTTTCAGATTCTTCTGCATCTTGCAAAAGCATATTTTCGATTTTCAGAAAGTTAAAATCAATAGTGTTGAAATTAACATCATCATCTAAGTTGCCTTCTTGTAAACCAATGTCCGTGGTACTAATCAAAGTACCGGGCAATAAACTGACTCCTGAATATTTATTTTCACTGATGCGTTCTTGCAAGTAGTCATAGTTTTCCATTTCGCTGTTGGTGCACATATTTGGCACAGTATCTAAGCTCGAATATTCCTTAAAATAAATGGATAACGTAACATGAAAACTGTTGAATGATATCTAAGCTACCGATTATAGCGAGATATTCTTCTATAAAAAATATATATCTTACCTGATTGTCATACAAATGTAGCGTCATCATTTCTCTCTGTAATTAACACTTGATTGGTATAGTTTTTATATTTGCACAAAAATACATAGATCTCATATGCTACATAGTAGAAAATATTTGATTCGTTTTCTTTTAAGAGAATATATCAAGCATATTTCTTGTAATTACGTATATATTTTGGAGCACATTTATAAAGTGATTCCAAGACTAACATAACCTTAAAAATCTATCCTGCAGAAAATTTAAATGTCCATACATACGTACATGTATTTGTAACATGTATATGTATTTGTACATGTATACATACGCACATATACAAACACATGTCAAAAATATATGTATAGTTATAACTAATTTATTTTTCTTAGAAAATATAAAAGAAAATACTAATAACGTTATAAGTATACATTTATCTTTATTATTGTTTGTTATTCTCAAAAGAGCAAAGCTCGACTAGCGAATTGTAAATATTGAACGAATAGCAGAGAAATAGCAAATAGTATATTTCAATTGATATATCTCCTTAAAATACATATATATACAGTGTCCGACAATTACTTTAACATCTCTCGTAGGCAGGTAGGAGTAAAACTGAGTCGAAAAGTCCTATATCATTTTGCGAGATTCGCAAAAGTTACCGAGATCTTAATTAACAAAGATCCGCGAATATAAGCATGCATCGGGCTGTCTTACGCGCGTCGTAAAACTCGTATTAAAAATAAAAATAAATATTAAAAAAAATATTAATAAGAAATAAGAAATTAAAATTATTTTATTTTAAAATACTTAATAAAGAATGGATTAATAATGCATCATAAAAGTTAAGAATTAGAAATACTTATTGATTCAGTTTTCATTTTCTCTTGTGTATGAAATAATAAATAATTCTAAATTGCTCTTTATAATAATTTAATATTATTTATTTCTATCTCTAATAATATATATATTTTCTTTATTATGTGTTGGATCTAAAAGCATTTGTCAACGCATCAATCTTTGCAAAAATCTTGTTATAGATAAACTATCTTTATATCCAAAATTTTTTAATTTATCTCATATAATTTTTGTTATTTCGAAATTTATATTATATTCATAACTGATATTAAGAAAATAATTACTTACAATCAATTTAAATAATTTCAGATTCTGTAAAAGATTTAAAACTAAATCGATATTGCATAAAAATCAATCTTTGATTCGATTTAACTGGCTATCAATCGCTCAAACATCGAATCAACATTGATGTTACATTTTCTGACTGAATATAAGAGAATGTTGTATAAGAAACTTTATAAACCAACACACAAATTAATAAGTGATAAAAAAATATATTTATAAGTAAGAACAAAGGAATGAAAAAGAAGGATTTAGGAAACATTTTTTATGAATTGAAATTTATATAAAAAAGAGAGTTATTGAATATGTTTATACATATAACCAGTTATATGTATAAACACTTAAAAAAAAAAAAATATTTAATAGTCAGGAGTGAAACAGAAATATATTCGGTTTATTTCATATGCACCATCATGTGTTATATTTCACATTTAGCTATTAGAGAGAACTGTTTTTTTTTTAAATATAGTAATTTTTGAACAATACACATTTACATATACACATAAAGTTTTACACTAGGATTAAATTCCTTTGATACTTTCAAAAACAGAGGTACTTTTGACTCGAGGCCAAGTGGCCAAATTTTCCTTTACACCCGCAATCACTCGTATGTATGTATTGTATATCTATTTGCCATCATCTTCTATTTTGTATGTTGTGAACATGCATCCGACTTCTTTACAAGGCAAAGACTCTTACAAGCTATGATATGTATCTTTGTGTGCTGTTCACAACATTTCAGTTGGTTTTTTAAATCGATTAAGAAGAAAAATATTCGTAAAAGTAGGGATACATATTTGTGAGAACATATTATATAAAATTATATATGATTAGAGAGAGTGTCCTAGAATTTGCGAAATACACAGCACGAGTATCCGTGCCAAGAGAAGCAACTTTTCTCTCTGACAAAAATTGTGGGTCTGAATACTACTTTTTAAATGAGAACAACTTTAAATTAACGATGAGTGCTATGAGGTTACAGGAACGACGTGACGCGTGAGCGTGTACGCAATTTTATTATTTCGGTAAAGATTTTATAAGAACTATGCGCGATATCTAAATATCGCTATTTTGACTACAATTTACTTAATAAGAGAATATTTTCTAATTGATATCACCAAAACAACAACTGAAAATATAAAATAAATAGATCAAATAAAACGTGAATAATCAAGATAATGTGAGTTTAATCAAGATTATAAATTGCAACGTTCTAAAAAAGTTGTGACTCTTTTCAGGGCTGATTAAATATTTTTAAAGCTAACTTTGGAAGACACGTAAAAACAAATAAGAAATTATGTAGATATATATGTTTTTTTGCTTATTTAATTAAAATTTTGTGGAAATACTAAAAGATCTGAAACAACAGCTTCATTATGCAATAGCAACCGTCACATTAAAAATGGTCCAACGTGCATAAGAAAATCTGCAGAACAAATATGTGTATGTTTTTTAGAGAATATTGGAATAATAATCTTGGATCGAAATTATTCACATTTTATTTTTAATTTAATTTTACTTTTAGTCATAATCAATACTTTGATGTATATCAATTAGAAAATATTCTTTTATTAAGTAAGTTGTATTCAAAATAGCAGATATTTAGATATTTAGATATAAGTCTTATAAAATCTTTATCAAAATAATAAAAAAAAGTGCGTACGCGCTTATGCCGTGCGAGAGCCGTCCCTAATTCATGTGTAACCTAAAGTTTAAAGCGCTCATTCTCTCGTTAGCTTACAGTTGCTTTCATTTAAAAAGTAGTGTTCAGACGCAATTTTGTAAGAGAGATATATGTTGCTTCTTCTGACACAGACCATGATGTAATTGTGCAATTCATGTCCGCGAATTCTGGGACGTACAATATTATATGTATGTAATTTATAAATAATTATATATATCAATAATTGTATATATCTATAAAATTATATAAACTATTTTATATAACATGTAAAGAAACAATTTGTAGGCAAAATTAAATTTTGCTTTATATCTAAGAACCAAAAACATATTGTATAACATTGTAAATTATAAATAAGTTTATGTATATATATAATATTGTATATGTAAAATTGTATACACATAACTAAGAATCGAAATATTTAGAACATTTGTAATTGTTGTCATATATATATAATACAAATTGCTTTCGGATAATGTACAGAAGTAAATATATATGGAAAAATAAATTCTTAATTTTTTAAATATTCCTGAAGTTTAAAATGTTTCATTTTTTAGTATTTATGTCTTTTTGGGAAACGTGTTTAAATTATGGAATTAACTAAATAATATATATTACAGAAGTGCTATAAAATTCACAAGAAGCTCATAGTCGGCTTATGATCTACACATATTTGCAAATAATAATAAGTATATATATAACAAATTGTGCGTGTAAAATTCCGATAAAAAGCATTATCTAACGAGTAACTTTGTATTAGAATAGTAACGTGGTGTTTCGATTATAGAAAAAGATGCTCTTTCTCGATAATATCTAATATTCTAAACATTTTTATTCGGCTTTCCAGACAAAAGAAAACAATGTATGTAAATGTCATTATTTGGTATATGTATTTAATTTTTTTAATTAAATTTAAATATTAAATTAAATATTTAATTATTATATGACTCTCATTATTTATTTATTTGTTTGAGAGTAAATTATATATATAAAGCTACTCAGTATTTCATATATTATAAATTTAAAGAAAATACTGAATCGCAAAAAATCAGTAAGAACTAATATAAAAACCAACGTTTTGCAAAAATCATGTCAATAAAAATGATTTAAATTGACAAAATGCTCTCGGAATTTTCTAATTGTTTTATGTATAAAAGAAAGGAAATCTCTGAGAATTCCACATTTTAGATTTACCAAGGAAACACTCTATTATATACGTACGCTATAACAAGTTGGGATTATATAAGTGTATGTGTGTGTGTTGTTTAAGTAGATGTATACACACGTTATTTCATAATATATATATGTAATATATATATGTATACATATGTGTATACACATACATATATATACCACTCAAGAAAATATATAAATATTATGTAAATATATATAGAGCTTAGGTATACATACACATTAGAGATAAAAATATAATTTCAATAGGATAATATATCTCATATATAGTTAACATTCATATTTTTAGAACTCTCTTAAATGCATTAGGCATTTCACATGATATGTTTTCAGTTTCTTTATATAGACAGGTGTTTTTTCTTCGAGGATTATATCGGTTGATCGATATTAGGAGACACATATTCCCGGCGATTATAGCACCAGTGACGCGTGAAAAGCGACGATGTTTCGCCAATAACTTTTTCTCTTTAGTGATAAGACAGATGACAAGTGTTTTACTGAAATTTAGAGCATTCATTGTTGTCGTGGTACTTGATTGTGATTTCAGAAAATATTTAACTCACGGAAGACGAATCTTTCGAAAGACTGTGGCTGGGTCATTCTCGATTTTTGTTATATATAGATATGTCAATGAATAAAAGAAGATAATATACAACAATCACATAAATGTAAAAAGATAGGAAGGATTCTCGCTGTAATAAAACAGCAGTTTTTGAGTTTTAGATTTTTGAGATTCTTTTGAGTTGTGAAGAGCGCGCGATATACGAGCGATTTTCAAGAATTGAACGATGTACATGATCGGATCTCAAGTGACGCAACCACGATCAGTCAAAAATCGTTTATACTACATCTTTTACTATTGCATTTAAAATAGCGTGCTTCAATTTTATATATCCTTATATTATCTAACATCGTGATTTCATCTCTCTTTGGCGACATATACATAAAACGATTAATATTATAAAAGCCATTCAAGTTTTCACGAAATTTTCACAGAATAATATTTTAATATGATGTGATTAGCCACAGATAATATATATTATATATTTAGTGTTTATATTTTATTCACTTTTAATGCAGGCAACGGAGCAACTTTTTTCCAAGATATATATATATATATATATATATATATACATACATATATATATATATGTATATGTGTATATTATTATATATTTCATATAGAGCGATTTCCGCGATTATTAATATTTAACAGAGCTATTTCCACATTTTTTTCAATAACTTGTTTTCTTAATATTCATCTGGGTTGCTTTGTCTCCTTAAACAAGAGCACAATATGCACATCTATATTTTTTCCACTAAAAGTTAAAGTGTCTTTTCTTTTCCTTTGTTATCTTATATGTTTAGATTTATATATATATATATATGACACTATATCTTCAAATATATATGTAATGCTAGTAAAGCAAAACTTTTGTTGTATAATTTGTTTGATATCATTTACAGATATAACAATAATAATATCTCTCTATACATTTTAAAACGTTTGCAACCACAGTGCACAGTGTCTTACGTGTACAGACGTATACACACCGATTGTGTGATGTGAAAGTTTTTTTGAAGGAAGATTAGAAATAAATTGTACATGTATTCACTATTATTCGAATAAACGTCTAAAGTAGTAGAGTTTTATGTGATATATTTTGACATTCTGACATTACTTGCGTTTTTTTTCAGCTCTTCCCCTTGTAGAAAATACTTTTCCGCCATTAAAACTATCCGAAGATTTCGCGTTTTTGCACGACAACTGCTAGATGAATGTTTGTGAAATGGAAAAAAAACCAAATACTTTGATCTGTGCATTTAAATATTTTAGCAAGACATGCAGTAACAGATTTGAAGATGATATTGCAGAGTCTGTGATTCATTGAAAAAATATTTTTCTGAATATCCAAGATTTCCCAAATTATTCTTCAACTTTCATCATTTTTGTAATTAAAAATTTAGGTAGTTTTACGCTCTTTAAAGATCTACTTTATTTATAACTCAAATCCGCCACTGTAGATCTCTTGCCAACATCCTGTAAGGTTGTCAGTATTTTGGTATCTCCCTTATTTTGGTTGAAAATCTCTCGATTTTTAACTGGAGTTATTTTTTATATTGACGATAAATCTGTTTTTCTCTTTTAGCTGCACTTTGTTTTTTATTTTTGTTTTTTTATATTATTACTCTTTCAAAAATGATATATTTTGTAAAAAATAAAACGTATTTATTTTGGAACGTTTGTTATTTTTATGTATTAAAATGTGAGACGTTTATTAGTTTTATTTTCTACGATATTTATCACATAATATATTAGTATATTTTGTTTTCAAATATATCTTCAACAGTAACGCAAGAGCTTTTTCGCGCGTAAAAAATTGCTTTTTTCTGTATAAATGATGTTTATAATTTACATGTATAAGAGATTATCAGTCAGTTTATACGTGTATTGAATTTCAATTTCAATTGATCAAAAGCACAGCTAAAAGTACAGATACTAACATGAACTAACATTGTTATGGAACTTGAAAGACGTTATCGTTCGCGGTATCGACATTGAAATATTCTTCATGAGAAAAAGTGTGTTGTTGTAATGCAACAATCGTTGTGTCAGAAATCGTTGGAAATACTTCATCGATGCTATTTCAACATATTTTATCTACGCTATTTTAAAATTCTTGAAAGAAAAAATATATATTTGTTTGCTCGACTTGTTCTATAGATGATTGTAATAAAAATATTTGTTAATTTCAAACGATGCAGTCAATGTTGACACTGCGACGATAAACAGAACTTGAGCTCTCCTTTTTTTTTGCACTCCTTTCTATCTCATGTTCTCATTTACTATGCTTATATTTCTATAGTCACAATTTACAGACAATTAAAGAACCACTAATCTTTGACTATCAGTTAGAAAGAAAAGCTCAACTCAGTAAGTAGAACCGTTTAGTAAAACTTTTCTCTGGAAATCTTATTTCTAAATCATTAAGAAACATCTTCTTTTTGAGCGACACTTTTATTTTTCTCAGCGAGCGCCCCCTATCACTTAAGCTAGCACATCCCTTATCCTTAAGAGAAACTTATGATACGGGATTACTATGATATGTGTTGTAAGGTTTTTCAGTCGCGCTAACTTCGAAGAAGGAACAATCTCGAAGTAACACCTCCTCGAGTAATACATGCATATATAATTTCATGTCTTACTATTTTCTTCTTTTATCATTGTTATTATTACTTACTTCTCAATATATCGTTGGCGCATAAGAAAGTCAGGATTAGGAAAGAGATCGAGATAGCATCGAACCGACAGACTTTTTTAAGTATCACTTTCACGACGACTAAAGAAAGATTTGATTTTTTTTTTTTTAGCTTTTCTCTTGCATTACTATATACTTCTTCTCATTCTATCATGCTGTCAGGTACCACGAGCGTTTAAGCGAACGACATTCGCTTGAACAAACGGTTGCCCTGTCCGGTGATTCGTTTCTCACCTGAAGTGTAGGACTGGATCACGGACTTTATCTGATCCGTCGCTACAGGGCCGATGCAAACCAAAGGATCCTTGAAATACGAGCAAACCTACTCCGCGGAAATTGTATCAAAATTTTGCAATTTGGTTTTGGTTTTGCAATTAGATAATTTAAAAAAAGTTTATATATAAACGTTGTCGGTACCTTTCTAGGAGTTTGTCGATGTCGCCTTTGCAGTTGACAACATAATCCACGACTTATGTCGCATTCGCTTGACATAATGCATTCCTCATCTGTAACAAGTATGTTATTTGTTACGATAAACTTTTGGATAATTTGCTTATTCGATTTTTATTTGATTTTAATAAACTTTTGGTTAATTTGATCTTAATTTTGCACAAAGTTGTACTTTCTATAATTTTTCAAGATTATAAAAACTGTTTTGTCAACGCACTGTATAGTTTGTTCGAGGTGGTCGGCGGTTGACACGATTTTGTTTCACGTCCAGGCATTTCGGCGCACATTAAACCAGTTTCGCATTCGCTATCTCTTCTGCAAAGTTCGCCCTGTTTCATGCCGTAAACGAAGACACAAGTTCCTACAACTGTAACGTTATTCTTGTAATTTAGTTTTTTGATATATTTAAATGTTTGCATAAGAATTAAAGTATCTTTGTTATTTTTTATTGATTTAGAAGATTGAAGTAATTTTAGCGATTATATTAGAAAATTTTATTAGGATGGTTTTTTAATTGTTTACCTCCATCGGGATTCATGCAAATAGAACCTGGACAGCAGTGATCGTTGTACATACATTTCCTTTCGTCACAAGGTTCTTCCGACGGTTCGCCTCCTTCTCCATACAAGCCGTTATATCCTTCCTGGAGCGATTGCTTTATATTTGAAATATATTATTTAGAATCGAGAGATATATGAATTGAATAATGACGCCCGGAAAACAAAAAAAAGATGATCGTGTAAATTTATACATAAATAATCTAATTGCACTAAATTTTGGACCCGGTCACTTACATCAATTTTGTATATTTACATATTGTTCTTTTCATCGGATGTACTTATCTTTGTTTTTATTTCCATGTCATTTAGTTCAGGTTATAATTCACATACTGTATGTTACTTTACACGCATTTGATATAGGAGAAAAGTGGGATAAAAGAGCCAAGTTTTGAAAGAGCCATTTTCAATTATTTGACAGTTTCTGAACGAATCTCACGAAAGTTTTAATTTTTATATTACAACACTAGACGTGTGTGTCATCCACAAACTTTGACAGATTAGTAAAAATAAATAGCGCCCGTACATTGTATTAAGGGTTTTGTCATTAAAAAGTAAATTTTTGGATTTTATTTTTTTGGTTTTTAACATTTTTGTGTAAAGAAATAATACAAAAATTATTATATCGTAATTTTATATATGTATTTAGTCTCCTAATTATGTAAATATTTTTCATTCATAGCATTAATTTGATAGTGTATTTTGAGATTATACTTTTTAAAAGGAAAAGTTTTGAAAGAGCCGGACTATAGTGTGATGAAAGAGCCGGCTCTTTTGTTACCAGTTCTTTCAAAACTATAATTGATAAGTATTTTTCAAAATCACAAAATCTTTTTGATAAAACATTTTAGCTTTGACAGTGAATATAGCGATGATTTGTCTTCAGATTCTGACAAAATATTATCAAAAATGAAAAAAAGAAAAATAGAAAAAGAAAATAACAATAATAATTGTATAGTGTGCATTAAGCGCTATAAAAATAGTAAGCAAGGTGGTAGTTTCAGTGTAAAGTTTGGTCTGATTGGGCACACGAAAAATGTGGAATAAAAAGAACGCTAAATTATTTTTGTCAAAATTGCTTAAGATTATTTGCGCGACACGAACGAGATTATCTGACTTAAGTAAGTAAGGATGCAAATTGAAAGGTACGATATTATCGGACTCCGAGAACGACCAAAGAGAACTATAACTCTACTTTATTTAAAACGCAATAAATGCTTTCGCAGTGCCACTCTTTTTGCATGTGACGCACTATAATGGCGATTCCATTCAATCTACGGATCGCAATCTCGATGTTAATTTACGGACAAAATACTTTCAAAATGTAATAAAATAAACACAGCTGAACTCTGAAATATATTTCTTCTTATTGTGCAAAGCATGCGGACTTAAAAATGAAGTATTGATCGTATATGACCTGTACTGCGGCACAAAATACTGCTTAATTACTAATTAAACAAAACAATGAAAACAAAAAAGTCTATTTAAAAAACTTAAAATCAACATCAGAGAAAGAGAGAGAGAAAGAGAGATAAACTAAAAGATTCTTGATGTAACAAAAAACAAGTAAACAACAATATGTTACAAATGTAAAATTTTTTAGTCTGTATCTTTTTCTATCAAATTGCTGAATATTTTCAGAGAAAGACTTTTCGAAATACCTGCAATAATCCAGGACGGTTCATGTAACTCCCATGACCACCGTAACCGAGATTAGATAGCATTTCAGGACTGAAGCGATTGAAAAGACCGCCCCACGCCTCGACACCGATATACGCCGTATTTGCTACAAGCACTAATATTATCGCCGTACACGCCTTCATGTTGTTGAAAATATTTTAATGTTCGGAACGCTGCAATTATTCAAAAGAAAAAAAGTGTTGGTAAAATTAGAATTTACAATCAAACGTTGAGAAAACTGAAAATGCGATTCTACGTTACACACTAGCGTGACAAATATAATCTTGTTATATTTGTTGCAACATAATCGAAATAAGATTTCTTTTTTTTTTGAAAATTTGTTTTATTTTAGCACTGCACAATGCAAGTATTAATTTTCAATTTTGAACGATGATATTTTTTGAATACAAAAATTTGATTTTTTAATCACACGAAAATTTTACCGGGTACACCAGTAGTGCTGAAATTAGACTTAAATATTCTCTGTGTGAAACTAGATTTTATTCTCTACATACAAGTTGTTTCTACATACAAATTGTGATTCCGTTTGAAGAGATAAATTTGCAGTTGAAAATAAAAGCGCAATATTTGAATTGCAAAACTGGGAATGCACAGGAATTTGTTACCGTTAAACGATCGCAGCAAATTTTGTGCGATTTTCTCTTCTTCGTTTCTTTTCTACGGGCGTACTTTATTTCAGTGTTATTTACCCTGTTTGTTTTTGTTGCAAGCAGCGATCCGTAAGATGCAACCAACCGTTAGTGTCGAACCCGTTTTACATGATGCCTTATCATACAACACCGCTGACGCAATGCTTTTACTACTTTTTTTTGAAACGATTTTTTTTCGCGGCTGCTGATGCGACTTTACAAAGCTAAAAGGGAGCATTCTTTACGCAACTTACCGACGTTATTACCTGAATTATTTATTTTTTCTATTTTGTGCAACTTAGTGCGATATATCAGCTCAACCCTATGAACTCGCATGATCGATATTATATTTTTGCTTTAATCAAGTAAGAGTATTTATGAATAGATAAAAAAATTAATCACATACTTGTTAAACTTCACAGACATCCATCCATCCAGACATCCATTAGACATCTATTAGATGTCGCATGAAGCTGTCGACGTCTAATAGACGTCTAATAAAGTTTTTGTTCTGTGTGGGCTATCTATTTAAAGTTAACTAGTTAAAGTGACTATAATATGGCAAACATTTCAGCAAAAAAAACGTAATAAGTACATATCGTAACAAAAGATAAATTACTTTTGCACTTATCTATTAAGGTGTTTGCAAAAACAACAAAACATTGAAAATTGTAACTACCTTCACATTTTGGAGAAGCACAGACTAGTTATAATTTATTAAAATTCGTGGCATGAGTGTGACGTTTGATCAATACTTGCATTAATCTGAGATACATATATATGATCAATAGTTCTTTCACTGTTTCTTTTTTATTTCACGATAAAATTTCCTTGCAAACGTCTAATGCATGTTATTTAAATTGATTGCACATGAAACAGTAATCAGTAAGTTTAATTAACTTTTTATGAGCTTATATATGTACAATCTGATATCAAATTTCTATGACTCGCGAATTATCTTTCTGTGTCGCAAACTAATTAGGTTATATGAATATCTATATAATAATATAGAAATGATTGAATTCTATTTGTGTTATTTCTGAAACTGATTAATTTAGTCGTATTTTGATTATATGGTTTGCAACACATCAAAGAGCAACAAGCTCCGTAAAGTATAATATATATGTATAGAATACTACAATAAAAAAAAAAAAAAAAAAAAAACATACAAATAAGATAAAACTGAACATTTAGAATTGTTTTTTTGTTAGAAAAGTTTTGTAAATTATTTACTTACAAAATATTTGTGTTGTTCTGGCTCAGCTTGCCTGGAACGCCTCGGCCGGACAGGAGATCGAAGCCCTTTCGGCAAGTAAATCCGCACAGGATCAACAAGTCCTCGATGGCGTTCGCTGGAGGACTGAGTCCGTGCCGCGCTCGCTCCGGCAATCTATACTTCTACGCCGTTCCGGTTGCCATTACGCGGGCGCATATTACACGCATGCGCCACCCACTGTCAGCCCATCGCCTTTTTTCTTTTTTTTTTTTTTCGCAATTTCCGATCACGACCTACGTGACATTTTGTTCATTCAGATCTTCGGATTTCTATCCATCAAGCAACTCAAAATAATAACTCGAAAAACTATTCAAACGAAATTTCGTCCAGTCACTCAAAATAACTCGTCTACTGACAGATGACATATGAAATGCTGACGCTACGATACGCAGACAGTGATATGATTAAGTGGTACATTAAAGTCATCGTGTTTTATAAAAACAAAATTTATATAAGTACCTTTTTCCAATAGAAACTGCATATATAAAGTATTGCTAAAATATTTTGTTTTACGTATTTTGTATTTTATAGAAAAAATCTGACGTTTTATAGTATACTACAATTACGCGGTAAATGCAATTTTCCTGAGATTAGATCAGCGCGCAGAATATATTTATTTTCTTCACAGATTATAATATCGTGTGTCTTCTCCAAGATACTCCATTTTGTCACCACCAGATGCGATATTCTGTAACATGTGAGTATAACATGTACGAAGGATCTGTGAAAGGTCAAAGATAACAAGGTAATCTCATTGTCCGTTTATGTATCTACTCGAATTTAAACGGAGCGAGAATTTTCCTAGTTTTTATTCTTGCTGTTATGTTTATATGTCCGAGATGTTTCTGACAACGACGAGTAGTGTCTCCTTCAGAACACGTTTTCGCCGTTTATTGAGGCTACTTCGTCAGCTTTAGCCTGCTTCTCGTCGCGCTTCTTACGCTATCGTAAGTTTCCTTCTCTCTTGGCCGTATTGATCCAAGGTATCCTGATGTGCCCGCCGGGTGGTCGTTCCCGCTCTATATACCGCTCGCGAACGCCTCTGTGTGCTCTTTCACGTATACTGGGTAGTTACGAAGTACGAACAGTCACGACACTCCGTTGTCCAACCCTTTCGAGCGTGAACGCCCTTCCTGGCGTTTTACTTTTACAAGAGAACTGAATTTTTCATGTATTTCTTCTCTACATGATTTTTTATACGTTTAAAGATTCTTTGTGAAGAATTTTTGAATGTGCTATTTTTCTGGTAATGATTTCTATTCTCACGTCATTTCAAGTCTTTTACAAAACTATAAATTAACTTGGAGAGAAAAACACAAGAAACAAGTTGATTAAAAATTGACTAGTTTAAAAGATTTTAATTGCTTTATCATTGCTCGAAATAGTCATTTTGTATATTTTATTATTCTTCTTTACTTCGAAGTTTCAGCTTTAATAGTTTTTGTCTCGAATAATTAACCTTGGAATTTAATTACGGCGTTAATCTTCTTTTTTTCTATAAAGGGCATTCGGTGAACATTTTCCCAGAAGAGTAGGAGAACGCGCAACCGGCAGACGCGCGCAAATCGACGCAGCGACATAACGCGAGAAGCGCATTTGCTGTTCATCTTTCCGATGCAACCACTTGTACATGAAATGCCAGCACAGGTGAGTATCTAAAAAAAAGCGCACACGCCCACTTGTGGGTCGCCACGTTGTTATACGCGCGTGTGCACGCATCATTAAATCGTCATGTTCTTTTCCGGATTCGATATTTCCTCGGCTATAACGTAGCTTCAAACGTTTTACCTCGGACTTGCGTGTCACGATTAAACAGATCGCAGACTTCCGAGAAACTTCTGTCCACCGTGACGGAGTAAACTCATTGTAGGTAGAGTGCGCATGACCAGGACAGAGTTGATTTATGCAACTAGATACTAGTCTGGAGATCCTTATCACTTACGTTAATTTGTTTTCCGAGAGTTGGTCAACACACATCACTCAATCAATGAAACGTCTGATGGAAATAGGAATCGTAAATAGATTTTTTTTTTTGTCAACTACAAAAATACAACTCTTCAGTTTTAAGAATTCATCAAATATTACGCAATTCTAGTCAAAAGCAATGCAATTTGACACAAGTTTTCTTTAATAATATTTATATTTACATTATATCTGCAAGTATTCATTTCATTTTCATATATATTTCAAATTATAATGTTTAAATATAATTTAAATACCTTTGTGAGTATTTTGTTGAAATTTATTTAGTGTATTTTAAGTTTCAGTTTACATTTTTTATAATATTTAAATTATTCTTTAATTTTTTAAATATTTTACAAATATTTTTTCTCTCAAAATGTCATTATTTTCCTACAAGTGCATTTATTTACAAAAAAAGTTATTTTTGATTATTTTATGTTCCATATGCTGGTAATTTTTTTTAACGCAACGATACATAAGTGCAACACATAGTGTATTTTACTTTTTATATTGTCAATACATAATTTCGTAACTTCTTATCTAGCAAAGTTCACAAAGATATAATATTATAGCAATAATGCAATGGTGACAACCGTAACTTCCATGCGGTTTCTTCTGTATAAAAAATATTTGTGAATATATTTCATGCATGGCTACTTTTAACTGAATTCACATTTGAAGATCTCAATTGGTGGTACGAAACATGTTTTGTTCCCTGTATTTTACGATCTCAACACGCTACAATTATCCTTTCATTTATCAAGTAAACATAGCATTAACATCATGTTCACAGAACATATAACAAAATAACAAGCAGAACATTCTATTATTATGAAATATCTTGGGGAAGGGGAGGATATGGACATTGATCTTTAAATTTTTTTACGACTTATACAAAGTGATAATTACCTAATAGTTTAGAAATTATTGATAATGCAGATTTTTTATATATAAAAAAGAAATATAAAATATTATTTGATAAAAAGTTATACAATCTTACGTGTGTATTCATGCTTTTAAAGCAAAATGCAAAAAATAAGCACACTTTTATTTCAAAAAGTTTTAGTTTTAAAACAATAGTAAAGCAACAATAAAGTATAAATAAAATAGCGATTTAAGCACACGTGTGTCTCTATCTAGCATTAAACGAATAAACTTCTGCTGCGCATAACGATATTTACATCGGTTTTTCGCTGTAAATAAAATGAACATTATGTGGAAATTAGTTTGAATAAACAGATTCCTCGAGTGGCTTGTGCGCGCTATAGTTTGAAGAATTTTATCGATGCCACGTTCTTTTGGTTCAAACACGTGTTAAATGAACAAGAATTACGAGAGACACCGGAATCAACAACGTTATCATCGACAATGACGTTGTTCATACATATTAATGAAGTTATTAAAGTCTGATCGATTTGAAGAATATTTTTAACAGCGGGATTGCCTCGCGACATACATGACGTTGTGACGTCAAAATGCTGACGATGGTTTTTATTTTCATACGTGAAGAGTGTCGGTGGTGTATAAAATATTCACAACAGACGTAATGTCCATTAGACGTCTAATGAACGTTCGTAATTCCATGTGACGTCTAATGAACATCTAATCGATTTTTGTATAAAATATAGTTGCATGTGGGTAGTCACGTACATATTGTTATATAAAAAGATTTTATTTAATAAATAATATCTAAAACAATGAAATAAATAAAAGGCTTGTAACTCGTCTTTATGTAATAATGTGAATATCGTGTAACCATATCCATTATTCAACAATTGCTCGTACACAGAAATACATAATATAAAAAAAAGCAAATATAATTTGAAATTATGTAAATGCAAGATATTTAGAATTCATATCCTAAGATCTTTTTGAAATGTCTTAATTAATTAATTTAAAATTAACTTTTTGAGAAATAAATTGTTTACAAACTAACTTTTAAATCATAGGCAATTAATATTTTATAGAGAGACAATTAGATAAATGAACTTCAGAGTGAATAAAAGAAGTTTGCTACATAGAACGGCTGTCACGAATTATAAATTAAATCCGCGTTCATTTCTTCGACAAAAAAACATCAAATAAATATATATAATCTTACCCTTCCAATTATGACGGTTTATAGAAATACTTCCGATAGACACTCTGTTTTAATGTCGGCTCCCCAAGCACACGTATACACACGCACATACACATGCACGCACAAAAGAACGAGTTAAACATTAATACGCATAAATGCAACGTCGCGCGCCAAAAAAAAAACGAGAGTTTTGGCGCTAATAGTTCTGCTAGAATCCTATTTCGAAATTTAAATAACCCGAGATTGATGTGCATGTGTCTCGTCGCTTGTACAACGAAGTTCGTTGATTTATGCAAGCGTTCGTTGTGTCACTAAATAATGAGAAATGAAAGAACGAGAATGCGTAGAACATTTCGTTGTTATCTAAATATCGAAATACGTTTCGGTCTAATGTTTTCAAGTCCAGTTGTATCGCCGCGGCAGTGTCACTTAATTGAGTTTCTCGTACGTTTCTATTCCGTAGAATGAAATAAATTAAGCTTCCTTTGTACATTTATACAGAATGGCATCGGGTGCCCGCTCGCGCGCGATCACTCGAATACGCGATGATGATGATGATCTGTGTTCCTCAGACTCCGGTGATACTGTGCAGCCAGGGTTTGAAATAGGTCGTCCTCATATATACACCCGGTAGATATGGAGCCGCGCATTTTATACCGTGCGAAACAGTACCGACGAGAAACCATCTGCCGTCCGGTCGTTCCATTACCAGCGGACCGCCACTGTCGCCCTGAATAAGATCATTAACCGCTATCTATATAATTCGTTCAAGACCACTTTTCGGCAAGTCGAAAGAATAACAAGTTGATTGATCGTTCTACTTTTGAGACAAAAAAAAATAAATCCGTTATATAAAATAATAAAATTAGATCGAGAATAAAAAGGTAAACTTATGGTTGAAATGAGATTGACATTTTGTTAGAATGAAGAATAATATTTACGAGATATAATGAAATAATAGGTGAATCACGATAATGCAACACGATAATGCAACACACTAATATGATTTTGCACGCACGATAGAGTAATCATGTTATTTGCTGTATGATCACAAAGAGATCCGGCCGCTACTAACTGGAACTGGTTAATAAGCTAATGTGGCGCGATGAGAAGTAAAATCACTCTATATGAGATTACCTCGCAAGAGTCTTTCTGCCCGTTAGCGTAGCCCGCGCAGAGAAAGCTATCCAGAATTAATTTGGAGTGTCCTGCTGTTTGGAACATCTCTTGGCAGACGGCATTCTCCATTATGGGCACTTGGACTTCTTGCAGCACCGACGGCACGCCACCATCTGTCATCGAACACACGACGATATACCGTTAGTGTAGGACTTTGACAGGTCCGAATGCGAGTGCAAAAAAAAGTCGCATTTGGTGCCAAAAATTCAAGCGTAGGAGATTACGCGAGAGTCGTGAAAGTTGTTACTTCGCTTTTGTCACAGTAACCTGTTCCATTTTGTATTGTACTTTCTAGTTTCGTGAAGGAATTTATAACACGTTCGAGTTCGCGATTTTTAAATCGGGTAAGCGAGGAATACAATACACACTGTATTTAAGTCGGCCCCAACCCGTGACTGTTGCCATCCGTCCGGTGAAGTCCATTCCGTCCTCCGGCATACAAATCGGTACGATATGTTCGTCGAACTGCACCGGCGACTCCAGTTCCAGAAGCGCCAGGTCATTCTCGAACGTCGCCGGATCGTAACCGCGGTTCACGATGACGCGGCGAACGTTCTTTGTTACGCTGCGCTTCGTCTCCAGCTCGCCCGAAATGTCGAATTCGCCAAACACCGCGACCAAGGAAGCCAGAAAGCTGAGAATAACAGAATCAATGATATACAGTTATAGATGGATACTTGAGTTTTTTTTTATCTCGGAAAAAATATTTTATAAACTTATGATGTAACTTACCCCGGTTGACAATGAGCCGCCGTTATTACATATCTATCGGTAATAAGCACTCCTCCGCATTTATTCTTGGTGAATAAACCGAGCCAGGTCGCCTCGCGAACCAAAACCTGCCACGGCCATTCTCCAAATTGCGCGCCCTTTCCACCGACGATCTTGCCTATTCTTGAGACCAGAGGCCTTACTCCGCATTCTGTTGAGAATATTGATAGTAAACACTATCAATGGTAATACAGTAATGATACAGACTTTTAATCTAAGAGAATATTGAATGTAAGAGTTTTCTTTAATATTTTAGCTTTCTACAAAAAAATTTCGAAATGAAAAACAGAATTATAAAAGTTTAGAATATATATACATGTATAATCTGTCCAGCGAGAGAATATTCTCGGTTTGCGCATAGGAGAAACATAACGGGCAAAGTGGGGAAAGCGTTGCGCGCGAGATACTCGTTGACAGCCAATGGCAGCTGCACAAGCAATACAGCGCTGTGGAGAGGGATGAGTTTTCTAAACGTTCTGTAGAGGAGATGCGCGAAACTGACAAGTTTATGTCGAATCCAAGGATATCCTTTCGCTGAACAGAATATAGATGCATATAACTATAACTAGATAACTAGATTGTATATTTTAAAACAAGTTGGGAATTTGTATAAGCACTTCAAATTTGTCGTTTGCTCACTTACGATTCCGAAAGTCAGGAGTGGCACTTGTTTCCGAACTGCTGCTCTCATTTTCAGTTGTAGTTTGGCTTTGTTCTGAAAGTAGAATCACTTCCGTGCTGCTGGACAGCGCAATTGTAGGTTTTCTGGTCGGTTTCGGACGTCTCGTTGTTAATTGAGGTCTTTTTGTCGTCACGTTTTGCACTGTACTTGGTTTGGGTCTTGAAGTAGTTCCTTTGGTAGGACGTGTTGGTTTCTCGGACGACAGCGGTTTCTGAGTAGCACGAGTCGGCTTTCTTGTAGTCGCTGATGGTCTTTTCGTCGTCGTCAATGACGACACCGGTCTAGTCGTAGGCCTTCGTGTCGGTTTCTTCGTCGTGACGTTTCCACTAGTCGTTGGTCTTCTCGTTACGGTAGACGGTGAAGCTGAGGTTGTGGTGGTGCCGTTTCCGTTGTAAACCACATCTTTCAAGTTCTGAAAACACAATTGGGGAAAAAAATTCAAATATATTTGCATCATTTTGCATCACTGCATTGTGTCACATTTGTTTATTTAAATACCAGTAAACTTTTGCCACATCATATTCTTAATGTGTTTACTTTGTTTTAAAAGAAATGCTGATATACTTTGAAGAGCTTGATTGTTCACACGTAATGCATAAAATGCAATGAAAATCATAGAAAGCAAAAGCCTACATAAAGAAAATAAAACATTCAAAATTGACACACTCTCACGACATTTCTATTTCCGACATACGAGTAATGGGATTTTAATATAAACCGTATTTAGAAAAAAGACAGACTCTATTTTCATGACACTCAAAACGTTGAAAGTTATGCATCTTATTTGTTTAAAACTTCACCTGAAACTTTTTGTTTTAAATAGCACATAAAAAAAACTTTTACGAATGAAACAAATTACATCTTGACGTTACCTGGAAGTCCCCTTGCAGCGACTCGACGATCTTGTTGACGAAAGCGTCCACCTTGTTTGTCAGCACATCATCCTCGATAAAAGTAGGCGTCGGAATGTCATTCTCGCTGATCAGCTCGATGTCCGGATATCCGGTGTTGTTATATATTTCGACAATGGTCGGTTTTTCTTGCTGCGAGATTGGCATAGAGATGTTGAGATTCGGGTTTCGCACTGGCGGGAAGTTGATGAGATCGTCCGGCGCTGCGGTTTCGTCGTCGCATGGTGTGCTGGTAGTAGCCTTAAAGTCGATTGTAGTGTCTTTGATAATAACATTGTTGACCGGCGTCAAATTTTCATCCGGCCAATGAAAACTGGGCGTCGACGGTTTTGGACGGAACGACGGCTTGTCCGACCACGAAGAGAGCGTGGTCCAGATTACAGGCTTTTTTGTAGTCGGTCGGTCCTTTGTACTTACAGTTTGCGACGCGATTGCCTCGGTGCTGACCTCGACTATTGGTTTCGCACTGGTGCCGTCCTTCAGATTGACACTTATGTAGCTGGTAGAGACCACATTGTTGCTAGTTACAACGTTGGAGATGACGGTGCTGATGTTATGAGTGATAGTGGTAGACACGCTGGGCTTCTTGGTGCTAACCAGCGTGGTGGGTCTGACTGTTTGAGTTTTTACGGGAGTAGTTTTAATCACTACGGGCTTGGTAGAAGGAGACGAGCCGGAGGGTTTTCTCGTTATAGGTTTCTGAGTAGTTCTCGTAGTATATTCTGTTCCGAGTGGGCCAAGAACTATTACTGTTGGCGCCGGAGGATTCGTTGTTGGACGATTGCCAGAGTAGGTCGAGAAAACACCGCTGGAAGCGCCAGAGTAAGTGGTTTGCGTGGACGGCCGCGAGACGTGCGAGTTGCTAAAGGTCGAATGCTGCGACGTGTAGGTCGTTTCAGTGGGAACGAGTTCGTAATTGTAATACGTCGAGGAAAGACTGTGAAGTGAGCTGGGTTTGTAAAAAGTGTAAGGGAAAGTCGAAGACGTCGAGGGCGTGGTGGGTCGATGGCTCGGTAAACTGATCTTTAAGTGGTGAACGGGCTTTGCAGTTTCGTCGATGCTCACCCAAGAGGACTGACCTGGAGAGGAATTAGGCACCGGCAAAGTCACCGATACTTCCGATTTCGGCGTCGTGTCATTAAGAATAGAGATTATGTGATTGATCGCGATTTCTTCCTTATCGAGAACATCATCCTTCTTCTTGTTAGGCATATCATAAGTGATTGTCGGTACTTTTACCAGATCATCTTTCTCATCAGAAGCAGTCATCGGTGTAGTAAGTTCCATCTGCATCGAAGTTGTCATTTTCTTTTCAACCGTGTTCATTTTCTCAGAAGTGCTTGTCACTTGCGAGCTAAGCGAATTGCTCGTGAGTTTCTGCACGTTGTTGTACATCTGGGTTACCATGGGCGTTTTCAATATAACAGGCGTCGTTGATTTCGGAACTTGCGACATAGACGTCAACTCCGCGGAAGAAGCGGATTCTTCTGGAAACTTGATCCAAATGCTTGACGTGCTTCCATCTTGCGTAATATTATTGATCGTCGTTGCGACAGGAGGTCGGAAAATCTCGTCCGGATTGTTAGTTTCTTCGAGCATTGTGCCATTCTCGTTCAACAATATTGTTTCCGGATCGCTGTGATTATTCTTACCAAGTCCCTGAGAGAACAATACCGGAAGTTGGTCCACCGGATCCGCTATTTGAAGAATCTGATCCGGACTCAACAGTGTAGTGACTGGATTTGCCATTGACGGGTCCTGATGGTCCTGAATATCATTATTGGAATCCGAATGAGTTAACAGTCCCGGCAATCTTAAATCGTCGATAATATCTTGTTGACCTAACAGAGCCGGAAAATCTTCCGCCAAATGACTGATGTCCGCTTGCTCGGGTACTTGAGTTTTTTCACCATTATTCGTTACATCATGCGACGGGGAAGCCTGATTCGAACTGGACAGTTTTGTGTATGTCGTCTCACTGTTCAGATAATTTGAGGCATTCATTTTGTCGGTCTTTGTAGTCTCATCGCTTGGCGATGCCGACATACCGATTGGCATGCCGTTTGAATTCAATAGAATAGGTATGTCGGGTACGTGATCGATTTGGTGCGTATGCAGGAGTTCCTCGTTGCCAAGCGAGTCGCCACTCGTCGAGCTCTTCGGTGGCAATTGGCAGCACGCACCGAAAAGGAAGCCGTCCATGCAAGCGCCGACGACCTCGCCGTTGCGTCTCGTGCATTCGTAATTGAACATGCATATCGGTTGCTCGCTCGACTTGATGCGCGACGGTATCGACGGCCGGCACGTCTTTGGGACTATTGTGTAACCCCCGAATAGCTTTCTTCCTGAAAAAAAAAAACCAGAGAAAACGCTCAATTTCTCGGAGTGCGTAATCTTAAAATTCTATTCTCGCATATATGACAGAAGTTGTTTCAATTTTATATCCGCGTTGTTTTAAGTACAAAAACACTTATGAGACTTGCGTTTGTAAATTTAGTCAATTTTTTATACATGTAACATTAGAAAAGTTTTATGAGGTTTAAAAGAATGACAAAGGAAGATTAATTATCATAAACGATTCGTTATCATTCCGGGTACATCGCGTCGCATGACGCGAAGAGGCTTTCAAAATCTACTTCGTTTTTGATGTTTGAGTTGTGAAGTATTATCGCGTGTTTATAAGACTCTCGAGACGCACTGCAGAATTTTATCTTATATGTTCACAGAATAATCGAACATTAACTTAATTGATAACGTCGCGCGCTGTTTAAAGAAGAAAACATTAAACGAACATTCTCGCGTCGATCAAAAATATAACGGACGTTTATTTTGCAACGATTTCATTTTAGTCATTTCAATTCAATGTTGCATTCGAACGAACAAAGAGGTAAAAATAAAGATTGCGAATGTAGATGACACACATTAATCTTGTTACGTTTAAAAAAGAAAACGAGATGAGAGATATTTTTTTTTCACGGAACTGATCTTTGTTCCTTTTTTAATGCTCCTGATACTCCAAGACGATGATATCTTTTTGAGTTTTTTCTTCAAGCATATTCGCATGCAAGAGAAAATGTGAATCATCAACGATATTGAGTTGATATCATAATAGAATAAAAAAAAAATACCCTGGTTAAGAAAATATCTAGCAGTTCGCGAGCGTGTGTTGTGTTTGCGCACATGTTGCTATCTTTTCCGGTTATGCTTAGCTGACCAAAGCATAGATGAGCAAGCATGTAGGCTCCGCCGCACGTGCCTTCTACACGTTTGCACACATTGCTGATATATGATGACCTACTCCGCGATCCGCGTTCGCAATATACTCGTCTGGATCCTCGCGTTCCAGATTTTTGGTATGCGTTCCAGATTTTTGGACTCATCTACCGATCCACTTTGCATTTATAATCATCGGTATACTGCAATTGCTTCACTGTCTATAAACAGTACACGCGCCCAGAAAACACAAAAATGTCATCCCGAAAGTCTCGCAAAAGTCATTTGAACAGCATCGAAATTTCCCAGATGTTTTCTAGACTTTTGAGTTATCGGATAAAAACAAAAAGTTTTTCAAAACAAAACTCACAGAAGAATAATAATAACACGAGGGATGATAAGGGGTTGAATTATAATACGTATAAATAGAAAAAGTTTGAATTTTTTTCTACCAATTAAAAACTTGAAAGTTTTAATCTCTTTTGTCTTTACTTACTGAGACTGCGATATGCAAATGTGTTCTCGCGCGATCAAGTCTGCATTTATCCGCGCAACATCTTAGGACCAATTAACTTTCTTTTCTATAGAACGCAGAAAAGAGAGTTACAAACAATTTGCAATTTAGATCGACCACGAGAGATTGCAATATCGTCGCGAATTACAGGTTGAGTCGTACAGGTTGTGTGCTGCGCGATTATGTTGTATGTTGTTGAAACACACGTGACGCGTGCGTCAGTCAATAGAAAACTCGTAGGCGTTCTTTATGAAAGCGCCACGAAGTGGCGCGAGGAGCTTCTTCAATCACCACCGACAACGTAAATGACGTAATTTGGCGCAAATTAATATACCGTGCTCGTTATCGATCTTCTGTATAATGGAATTGCGCTTGAAACGGGAAACGTCGTATTAATAATGCACGAGTCTCAAAAGCTTCGCGGCGAGCACACAAATTATTGATGCGATTTAAATCGAAAACATCGCGTTGCTCCACGCGAACGTTCCCGAAGATCTGAACGCCGAGATTATCCCGATTATGTAGTATGAATGTCCATTAAACGAGTATCTCATCGCGATAATGCGCAATTTCTTGTGTCTTTATAGTCTTCCATTTATTCTACCGTAACGTTATATAACAAATAGGTAAAATATAGGGAACAACCAGCAAAAATCAATCCCTTCATAAAACTAAAAACTGTTGCTTCTATATACAACACAAACATAACGTTATATAAATTTATGTTTTTTATGTTTGTGTTGTAAGCGTGTAGGCAGGGAGGGCTTCGCCCCCTGCAGGTGAGAGGCTTTGCCCTTTCCCTACTCATTTTATTATATTTGGTAACAGATAAAGTATTTAATTATAATTAATCAATATGTATTGTTGTATTTGTTTCAGTGAATTTTAATTTCTTGTTAATCAAACTTATATATGTTTGTTTATATGATAGACATACTCAGAGAAAGTATTTGACTTTTGATAAATCAATATAAATAAATTTAATACAACAGATAGATTGAAAGTGCAGCGAGAAGGAAGTATTGCCGCAAAAGAGAAAACGCATATAATGCGTGATAAAATATTATGGAGCTATAAATGTCACGAGAGAGAAAGAGATATTATATGAATGTGTCGCGCACGTCACATACTCTCTTGACACAAATCAACGCGCGAAAGTGGAGAAAGGCGAGGGTCTATATATGGGGCAAAGTCGTTGCATATATATTAACAAATATTCAAATGCAGCTGCACGTTTAACGTGCACCGAGAATAATTTCGAGCAGATCGAACAGAGAAAGTATTAAACATTAAATTTATGACGTTGAAAATTTTATATGCAAGAGAGAGAGAAAGAGAAATAGACATTCTTAAATTCTTCCGTTAGAATTTGCTCTCAATAGATTGCATAGAAGTTTTAAAATCGTTAATTTGCTTTTCTATAATTGATATGATCAATCTTTTCTATAATTGATATGATCATCACCGTAAAGTTATAATTTTTTTTTATAGAAAACTTTCATGATATCTTTTATTTTTTATTTAAATATTTACCGAAGAAGCAAGAATGTTGTGTCTGATTACATTCTTGAAGTTTAATTTGCATCTTCGAAGACTGAATTTTTATTTAGCAAAAGTCGAATAACTCAAATTTTACGATTAAAATAACTGCTCATTTTTTTCTGAGAAGAAATTCACGTTCTGTGTTACTAACATTTATTATTGAAAAAATATCCGGTATATTCTGGAATATATATAGATATTCGCGGCGTTTATTCCCCGGATACGCGTGCTGCTTTTCAACGTGTCTCTTAAAATTTTCATACGTCTTACGCAAATAGATCCGAGGAGAAATCTTCTTCGCGAAGAAAAAGCCTGAAGCTTTAAGTAGAATTTAGTGTCAATATTTGTCGTGTCAAAAATTCGCGAGAATGCGACCCGGCGCGTTGAAACACGAAATACCTACGCTAACGTTTTTTTCTCCCGCGCGACCCTTGACCTTCCTCTTGTGCTCGCTGCAACCGAAAGTTGCGTGCGAACGACATCGATATTCGCGCGGCTCGGCAAAAAATCGAATGTTACCTCGTTTGTGCTCCCTACGCGACCGGAATAAATGGCCGCTGTATGGCGAAAAGCTTCTTCTTTGACTCCATCTTTTTGTTGTTGATTTTTCTCAAAGAAAGACGGAAAGTAGAATTTGGTGTCAGTAATGACTGTCGACTTTAACATCTCATTTTGCGGTACGAACCACACACACCCGGCATGCATATTAACGTAGCCAAGAACAATTTGTAAAAAGTGGAAAAACTCGAGTCTCGGATCTTGTTCTTTTGTATTCACATAGCTATTACTTTGGAACGTTAAAAGGAAGATAGATTTATGTTTATTATTACATTAGATTTTTCTTAACTTAATGTTATAATGTGTTATTAGAATATAATTCTTAAAGTAATTTATATTAAACGGTATTTATTAAAATAAATGTGCAAGCACGAACTGCCGTGATTACCTTCATTTTGAGATGTCCAGGAATGAGAAAAACCGCATGTCAAAGTGAGAAAGACGAACAGACAGACATGTTTCTCAGTAGCCATCTGTGAAATAAAAACGAACAGAATTAATTATTCGCAAAGACATTTCAGTTTTGAAAGAAATTTATATCAACCGTATTAAAAGAGATTTGTATTAGCCAGCATCGTGAATTAAAAATTTGTCTTCAAACCTAAAGATAGATCTGCTTTAAGACATTTTAAGTTATTTATAAAGATGGCTCTTGGCATCGACAACGATTTTAAAACATCTTTTAGTTTTAAACCTGTCTTTGAGGCATAAAAGTGACGTAAAAACTAATCCGCTTGTTATTCACATGAAAATAGAAATAAATTGCACACTCTGCGATACGCAAAGCTCTTACATTATCGATTGAATCGTTAAATCAAGGAATAAAAATCATTCAGTACTGTGTGTTTTTTTCAGTACTGTTTGTTTTGCTTTAGTTTGCTCTTGTGACGACATAAAATTCAATCTTATAATAAATAAAGCAGAAAATTAAAATTAAATAACAAAATAATTAGGTTATCTTCATATAAATATGTTTTTGTTCAGTATAGACAGTGTAGAGCATAGACATGTACGTATACGTCTATAATTCAGTGAGTAACTTTCGTAAAGACTATCTGCGTTCATTGACACTGAATAGGATTCGCATGTTTTTTGGTATTTTAGCATACGGTAATCATTCACGTAGCAGCTGTAAGTTTGCAGATCTGATTACCAGATCGGTGTACATATTTGTCCCTTGGTAACGGTACAGAAATTATATATTAGCCTCTCTCGCACGTACACCAGAAAAACTGGGAGAGTCGCAAGAGGATGATATCTCACCGCTTGTTCTCTTGATCAAGTTTAAAGTTTATCAAACATTCTGCTATTAGTTTTATAAACTAAGGTTTATTTTAAACTAAGTTTACACATAAATAATTTATACATTATTTAAAAATGCGTTTATAAATAAATATTTGATACAAAAAGGTAGTATTTCGAAAATATGTATATAAACGCGTACATATTAATTTTTGTGTTATAAAATGTACATAAAAAAAAACAAAGTCCACTGAATAATATTGTATTGAACATGAAATTGTAAGTAGAAATCAAATTTAATATTTGATATAACTGAATAACATAAATATATATATGTATATTTTGATTAAATTTCAGGTTGAATAATTCCGTGAAAAATAAATTTATTTATTTTTAGCAAACACATATTTGCCGGTTTTTGACAAGATATCTAAATAACTTACTTATCCGATAGAGGAAGCACAACATAATTTGTACATATTTGTGAAATTTGATTTTCGATCTCAGTTCGAACGATGCTTTCTTACTATGACTACCTTCTGTTTTAAAGCACTGACATAACTGGACATGAATTTTATATCTATCGTTTGGAGAATTTAGATCTGGATGGTTTGTCTAATTCAGATGCGTTTTATCTGTCATTTTGTTTTTTTTTTTTTAAATCTTGCGGTTGAGATTTAAATTTAAAAAATTGTAACAATTTAACTCTATTTGTCTAACTCTTTGCTAATTTTGTACCATAATTTTGTACAGATTACAATGACTCAAAATATAGTTGAAACGTCTGGTAACGTTTAATCATTGAATTTCAATCAGCAAAACCCGCTCGATTCAGCACGGCAGTTTTAATTTTTTACTTTGGATTTTCCAAGTTGAACCCAAGGATATTCTTCTTTTCACTTTTAGTATTTAAATTTATTATATTTTAGCACATAATATCTACAAATTAGATGATATTAACGTATAAATATTTTACGTGTATGCAGCTTGTCATTTTAACTGGTTATTCGTGAATTATTGATTTACCAATAAGCAAGCAAATATTAATGTTTAAATAATTATATAATAAAATATATAAACAATTAATTCAAATTTATAACATTTTACTAACAATAAATCAATGCAAAAGTGTATGCTCGCACCAAAAAGAATTCAAAGCAGTTCACATGGCAAAACTAATATAGAAGAAGTGATATTTCTATATTTATTTGTTTCTTCTTGCTGTGTTGGCTAGTTACGTTCGAATAAATCTCGAAATTTTCCAAGACACTTGTATATATGTTTTTACACGCAAGATGAAAGAAAAAAGAGAGCTAATTTATTAAGAACTTATGTCTTTTCCTCCACAAGAGATTCACGATTACGCGCGAGCGCGCGTATAAGCCGTGTGAGTATGTCGCGCATAAAATACAAGACGACCGGCTACGTGCGTATATCTGTGGAATCCCGTTACAGTCAGTCACACAGGTCCGACGAGTATGCGATGGTCGCTTTCAAAGTGGAGGAGGAACGGGAACGAAATATCGGAGACACCTAAAGGGGAAGGTAACGTCGCCGCTGATACTCGGCGGGGAGTCGAGGCCTTGATTCTCATCAAGGCTCTCTCGAGCGGGATGAGAAGAAGATAAGAATGAACGGCGGCGAGCTGGTCTCGTCTTAACGTAAGTTCACTCGAGGCACTGGTGACCCAGTTTACCAATTCACCGCCGTCCTGTCCACCGCAGTCTTGTTAACCCATTAAAAGAGCATACTCATACGTATCATGCAAACTATTGCCGTTTATTCTGCAGGTGGCATGTTTTCAGATTTTTTAAACCTGGAGAGTAAAAAAAAAAAAATTAGAAGTTTTTTACATTTAAAATATAATTCTTTTTAAATTCTGATCTTCTTGAATTTGAAATTAAGCGTCATTTGCGTGATACAAGTATGTATTAAGAATATGCAAAAGTTCGTCTTTTTTCAGCGCTCTGGTATATTTATTTAAAATTAAAATAAATTCGTACTGTTTTGTGTGTTTTTTTAAATTGGTATTGAAATCTATGAAATGCCATATCTTATGATTGAGGCTACGTCTTAAGGTAACACTACTTGTGTGCACACAAGCATCATTTTATCTTTGTTTTATATCTAATGAACGATAAAGTGTACACACAAGTAGTGTTTCCGAACACAGTATACGTAATGATGAACAAAGAAAAAACGCCGCTAAAGCATGTGAATCAATTTGCTCTTCTCTTGGCAAAGACATCCCACGATACATATAAATATGGTTTTCTCGTTCTAAAGACGATAATTGTAACATGATTGGGGTCGACCGCGCTTTGGAAAATTACGAAAATTGAAAGCTGATAATGTGGAAGAGTTATTAAAATAAAAATCCATCGCATGAAACTTGCGGCACACTTAAGAATTGATCAAACAACAGTTTCGTCCGAGACGATTGCGTGAATTGGAAAAAATTCAGATGCTCGAATTTTTATTCGATTAGAATAGTTGTAGGAACAACGGATAGCTTGGTTGCTAAATAAGGTCAAACTGACGAAAATTACAAGAATAATTTTGTATATAAATAGTTCGTTGCACCGCATGGATTTTTAATACGATCCGCTAAAGTGCTTTTGTGCGGAACAAGACATGCCTATTAATTCGCCTCTTGTTAACCTAAAATTTCGAAGCATCCGTCAATTAGTATAATTTTGATTAAATCTATCGTAAGTATGTTAATTCCATCAAATATCGGGAAATTATGATAATTAAATGTGTACCGGAATTACGTTATGCGCCTTTCTCTCTCTCTGTCTTTCCATCTTTCTCTTTCTCTCGTGTCCGTGTAAAAATTATTGCCGGACTTGTTTTGATATTTAAAATTCAAAACATATATATCTCGAAGGCAACAATTAATCAAAAATTATAACGGTACTTTTTCACCAGTTGGAAATACTTAGCAACAAGCAAACAATCGGGAAAAATAGAATGGAAATTATTTTTGTAGAAATTATTAATAATTCATGACGCAAAAAACGATCATAGATTACAAGCGCACAATTATTCTGCCTTTTTATACCATATAAATGTGTAATTATTAATCACTTTTCCAAGTAAGATGTGAAGTTAAACACACATAGTTTCATTCTGCGCGAGAATTACCTTAATTCAGGGTCGATCAAATCGCGATAACGTTACTTAGCATACTAGTTTAGCACACGTTACACAAATTATGTACGTCATGAGAATGTTACACACGCGCATTACATCATGTTATATTACTCTTAATGCCGCGGTGCGATCTTTTCGTTCACATCTTACGCAGAGCCGTGAACATGCGGAAATCACTTTCATTGCAAGTCCCATTTGACCGTGTTTCGCCGTGATCGCCGTTGCTTGAACGTATCAATCGGTTTGATTTTCTTTTGTTTTATTAAAAAAAAAAAAAAAAAAAAAAACGCACATAACGTTGAACACGTTATTACGACTTTGACAAAAGATCAAAGAGTTTTTTCTTAGCGCGAATATTCAGCGTTTTATTTCCGTGCTTGTCTGTAAAATGTTTTAATTGTAAAATAAGAACTATACACGACTAGTTTTTTAATTTAACATCTAAAATTGTTCGTCTCTTGTTTATATACGTCGCTTTGCGCTTTCGTTGTCGATTGCCAGCAAAACCGACGTTACGTTCCCATGGATGTTGCTTTCTGAGCTATCTGCCGCGGCGATCAATGCTGGACCGACTCCTCTCCTCGTCTTTCTTACTCTCTCTTCCTCTTTCTTTCTTTTTCTCTTTCGACGTGCTTTACTGCCGCCAGAGAGAAGATGTACGCGATGGATTTTCTCGCGGCGAGTTCGGAAAAATGTTCGCGGAAAAACAGCAAGAGATCACGTTTACTGTACGAGAATATCTACAATCTACACAGTCCTCGGTGAGGATCTTTTTAACGAGGATCTCCACCAGGAAGATTCTCTATATAACCTCCGACAAAACGCGAATCGAGAAAAGTCGAAATTTCTTCCGCGTTCATTGATTGTCCATCAATATCCGAAAATTATATCCGAAAGTAATATTGTGAATGCGTGGGGTGGCACGATAACTTACGCGTGTGCACGGACACATGTAAGACTGTGGAGAAAGCTTGGTACGGCGTTTCTTGATTATCGAATCTGGGTAACCCGATTGCCGTTCAACAGAAGCACTTCCTCATTATTGACAACCTGTCGCGTATCCTTGAAAAGATCGTTACAGATCGTTACAGATTGATGCTACTGCTGTTGACGATCGGAAGTACGAATGATTAAATAGTGCACTAGAGCGTTAATTTCATGCAAAAAGTCACGACTCAATAATTTTGTAACAACATATATATATATACGTTATATATATTTTGTAACAATACGATACAATTTATTTACTTGTTTATAACTAAGTGAATATATATAATTGGTATTGTTATCTATACTGATAACGATCTCTTGAAACCTTTTTTTGAGTAAGAGAAAGATTTTCTTCTATGTACGAGATACGCTGTTTTCACACACACGATTCAACTTTTTTTTTTATTTCTGCGATTTGGTTTCTTGAGCTCGCAAGCGCGATTCGAATTAACTCAACAGGTCGAGACATCTTTAGCCTCCATTTTCTCCCTGTTCGAGCGCAAGCACGAGCATTGATTATCGGGAGGACGATGATTAGCAAAATAATCCAGGAAAGTAGGAAATCTAAGTGTCGTTCGAATGTAACACAGAAGAAGAGACAGAGCGAAAACTAGATTTAAGACGAAGATGCGATCGCGCGTGCAGGCAGTCTCTGCTTTTGCTCAATTATTTAAAATATTTTGAGCAAAAAACCGATTGATTTCTTCTTATTATGCTTAGTACAAAGTTTCAATACAAAAGTTTCGGTCGTCTTTCCGACAACTTTGTATCAAAGATAGAAAATGACGCAAGATATGTTAACGTTGTTAATATACCTTTTAATATCAGTCACATAAAAGACAACTATTTGTGGTTTACCTGATCTTGTTACAAAAAGACTTCGTCAACACTGTAATTTTACTTTTGTATTTGAAATGATTAAAAATTCTTGTAAAAACTTACATGTTTTCATAGATGGGAAATAATTTTTAAAGTTTAAGAAAAATATTTCTGTAATAGAATGTTTATTAAAAAGATACATATATAAATATAATTGATGTAAAATATCTCAAATGGCTGTCTGAGAACAATTGCTTTGAAGTTTTTCAAACTCTGTTATAAAGAAAATGATTTTTCATTAGTCGGAATGTACGAATTATAAAAAATTGCAAGATTTTTATTTGCCGGAAAGAATATCAAAACGCGGAATTGTCCTGTAAAATTAAGCGGGAAAAAGCGTCAAGCGTAGTAATGTTAAATCCGTCAAACGAACCTACATAATCGAAAAGAGCGACAACGAACTATCGAAGTGTCGACAACCGTTACAATCTGCCACCACATAGCTGTCTTAGATACACATCGGACATGCACGTGCGTAAAGGATGTGTGCGTTAGGCGCTGTTAGGGGTCAACGCGAAAGATCTTCTTCTAGCTGAGTTTCGCATCACGAGGGAATTACAGAATATTTTTAAAATGAAAAAAAAAAAGATAAAAAGAAACTAATTTTGATTGATTTTTGGTTGAATTAATAAAATAATCGTTTACGATTTTCGTCAGAGATTGTTCTAATTTTGAAAAATTTTTGCTCAAATTTAAAAAAGTATTAATATCCCAATGAATATATCACACAAAGAGAAATAAGATGAAAATGACAGCCTGAATATTTTCCTGATGCAGGAAAACGTTTCCTCTTGCCGTTTTCCTAATAACAGGTTGATTATCTCTGTCAAACATAACTGTGCTCGAGGCGCACGTCGCATTTAAGATTCGTCAGTTCCGTGCGTGACGGGAGTAGCTTACATACGTGCGGATTAATTCGCGCGTTGTGCCCCGACTTCTTCGTGGTTTAGATGTGCGTTTCTCCACGGTCGGTGCACCTTGCACCGGCCGCGCATCTCGTCTGCCGGCAAACGAGGGCAGGCTCAAGTCAGGCCGCCGATACCTGTTACTTGCGTCATCACGATTTGTGTGCCAGAGAAGATCTTTTCCTTAGAAAGGAACTTTCGGCGTCTAACTCTCGGGGAAACGACGAACACGAAGAAAAACGAGAGGAATAAACGTGAGAAGAAAGAAAGATAATATTGAGAACGAGATATTGAAACGCCACAGTGCAACGGAGCGTGCCAAATGGTCCTTTTGGCGTGCATCAAAATGCCTCGTCTCGACTCGTCGCCGCTCAATGTCCGATAGCACGGCTTTCTCCGATTTCCACGGTCAGATTACTCGTCCGCGCGCGTGATTACGCCCATTCTCCTAGTACGTCCTGGTTCCGATAGACAGAGATCCTTAACGTTCTGTTTGCCTGATATTGAATTTCACAGTCACATCGAGAGGATTCCGCGTTGCACTTTCTCCCGCGAGATTGGATCGAATTTGTGACGGTAAACTGACGACGACAAATGACTGAATCACGCTGCTACAATTTATAGTCTCTTTGTGAAACACGTGTTTATAATTTATCAGCATTTATTAATTAAATTTAATTAAAATTTATATTTGATTTTGCAATGACACTTTGCGTTTTTTAATTGTGAAATAGATAGATCAACTTTTATGAGAGAAATGCATCCTAGTTAGTTGAAGTCTACGCAAACGATAACTATAAAGCAATATAATTTCATCTTTTATTACTGATTATAACTTGTGTGTTATTTTTATTCAATTGAATTATTCAACTCCGTGATATAATGCATATCTTACATCAGACAGAAAAATGCGAAGCTTATCGAGTCGAGAATGTAGTAGTTATCACTCGAAAGATGGAGCAACTCGACAATTCCTCGAGCCGGCAGTACGCAAAAAAAAAAAACAAAAAAAATTATTCCCGCACCAGCTGCGCCATCGATCAAACAACCCCCTTGAAGACTCGAAAGCTACTTACCGTGCAGCGCATTAACCTTGAGTGCAACTCCGAGAGGATCTGTCAGGCGCGTCTCATAACGTCACTGTAATCCCCCGGCAGACCAAGTCCGCTTTTCCGGCCTGCTTCCGGTTTGCGCGTGAAGAAAACGCGACCTTGCTCTTGGCTGGCGAATTAGATCGTTTTTGTTCCGCGTGACTGCCTCTTTCAAGATCACTAATTCTTTGCCGCGCGTTCCCGCACTTTCTCACTGAACTTGTTGTCTTGCCGATCGATCCCTCAACACGAATCATGCGCTACAAGCAATCACGTTTTGTAAATTGATGATCCGAACCTCACAATATTATATTCGACTTTGATCGCGCGTGCGTCTCCTGTATGCATTTGCCGATTGTTAGCCTGTAGGTAACATTGGATGGATAACAAAATCCGTTCGCGAGATCAACACTGTCAAAAAAACCGATCTGCACCCGGAGAGAGCAATCACCTCTATGACTTTTACGCGTTTACACCGATCCGTATCGAGCGATCGTCGCGATCGTCCATCCGGTTAGCAAACGGGATGGTACCTGTCTGATCGTTGTACCTCGTGCCACGGCATGTGCTGCTGGAGTCGCATGGCTAAGTCATAAGCGGCGCCTTCGACCAAGATCGGTGGTGGTGGCCGGTTCGGTCGGTGGTGGAGGTCGTTTATGGTGGAGGCAATGCACGTTCAACGGAAGCTCGATCGAAGAGGAAGAGGGGACCGTGTTCTTCTCGTGAGGGACAGAAATTACCAAAGGAGACGGGTAGAATACGAAGAGGAATCCGAGCGGAAGGAGAAGCACTCGGGAGAAAGACAGAAAAAGAGAGGGAACCAGGAGAAATCAAAGTGGGTCAGCGGCCAGGTCACGTGAAGAAGAACGAGGCCCAACGTGCAGGACGGCGACACACTGTCCTACTCATCCAAGCGGCCGTTCTTGGCCGCTCCAAGTTCTGTCTGTCCATTCAGGAAACGCTTCGCGATATCGTCTTGAAAATGAGATGCAATCCACCGCGACGGTGTATCTTCTCGTTGTGATTCTTGGAGAAAAGAAAGAAAGCCTTTGCGAATAGAAACATTTGAATGAGCGTGATAAGAATCTGATCACCTGACGAAGTCGCGACAAGGTCGCGTAAATTATTTGAATTTTGCGCAACATCTGAACCGCATGTTAAATCATGTTCTTTTTTTAACAAGTATAAAAAATATTTATAATTTTTTGATTGATAAAAAAATATATCATTCACTTAATTTTATATTAAAATACTGTTAAATAAATTTTATGACTGAAATTTCGTTTCTGTGGAAAATACACGTTTGTAGAAAATACACCGCAAATAAAATTATGGTTATGATAACCTGTTGGTACAATAATTGTAAAAAATAAAAATATTGCTTTTGTACAGTATTTTAGATTTTTCTCTTGTTGTCTTTCATATATTCATCATACATTTTTTTTACTTTTAATATGGATTACGATCTTTTCACACAAAATGATGTACTACGTGAGAATTTTAAGTTTAACATAATCATGCTAATAAAAAGGACTTTAATTAGAAAAAAAGAGTCGTAAATGGCAAACGGTGCTTTTGAGAGCAGCCTGAAAGAGATAAATGAGTTTCCCCTATTATGGTGAAAAAATTGCAGAACGCTCCATCTTCGTCATAATTTTCATAGAAATTAATAAGTTTTTTCTTATGAAGAAGATGTAGAGCGGAGAAGTAATATAAGCAATTTTTCTGGTGGATTACAATGTGTTACCAGAGTGCGGCTGCACTTTTTAAAAAGGTAGTTAATATACTAATAACATCCGCATTACTTATATAAAAGAAATTAAGAAATTATATATGGAAAGAAAAATATAATATATGCTATCGTGTTATTAAAAATTGTATCTATATATATATTTTACTTTATATTTCAACAAATATCTATATTTCAAGTGTGTATATTCTATTTTTTCTCTTACTTTGACATTATTTTAAAAAGTTACTTACACGTACAAAAAAGAGTTACATATATATTTTTTAAATACTTTCAAAAAAAATTTATATACAAAAAGAAACTTTTATCCTGATTGTATAATAAATTGTAAAATCAACCGAAGAGATTTTCGCATTTCTTATATGATTTAAGCAGTTAATAGCTTCGCAATGTCTTTTGTTAATGCAAAAATTTCATTCAGAGACGAATAACAAACGTTCAACTTCCTGCGTATATCTTCCTGCGTTTCTTTGGTTTCCGAAGAAACGGAAACCAAAGAAACGCAGACATGCAGGAAGTTGTTTCTCGTTAACTATTAGTGCTCCTACTTTCTGGCACAAGAGGATAATTACAATGGAGTGGTGTAACAAGTTGTATTACGAGATAAATACGCGTGGCGCGAATGTTTGATGTATAAAAGTCTGTTTTCCTAATGATATTATCTTATTATCGCTAATGATACACTTTTGTTAATGAAAAGAGAATTATCAAATAAAAATTGTAAATGTACACGTTATGTATGTACATATATTTAAATATATATGTTTCTATTTGTTTTTATTTGCTTTGCAACAAAATGTGTGCGTTAATTAACAGATTGAGCGCATCACAGCGTGGAATGTTCTTTTATTTTTACAATATTTTGTATGTTCAGACTTCAAAATTGATTTAGGGAATCAAAATTATTCTTTTAGAAATGAATAAAACAGTACAAAAAAAAAGAAATATTGACGAGCTGCTCGAGAGAGATTTAACATGTACGACGACGTTGAGGAAGAACAACGAAACAGATCCCAACGCTAACGTTGCTTCAAGCTTTCGGGAAAAAGCTTCGTGAAAAAGATAAATATTGAGATAAAGAGTGATTGTTTCTATTTGTTTATATGGTTTATTTTGTGGTTGCTTTTTTTGAGAACTTAAATGTTGAAAAAGTGCGCAATATTTACCGGTAACATCTGCTGAGAATTTTTATGGGAAAAATAGAGACAATTGGGAGCTTTAGAAAGACAATTACTCCAAACATCGTGTTCGCACAGAATGGAAAGTTAAAAACGATATCATTACAATAGATTGGTCTGCATCTTCCCAGATGTGAAGCCAATTAAAAATGTGTAATCCTAATAAAGTAAGAGGAAAATCCATCTTTACTCTCAATCACACAGCTGTCGATCAAAATCAAGAAGTTAAAGCGCTCTCTATCACGTGAATACGCTGAAAATCTAGTCGAAAGCATGTCAAGGAAGTGCCAAGCAATAATTGACAACGAATGAATAAGACTGAACCATTACTAGATAATTATGCAATTTTTTTTTTTGAATCTACTTTGATGTACTACATTCCTTGTTTTTTAGGTTGTATATTTTCAACATGTTGCCGTACACTTTCTTGTGAAACGAACTGTAGAATACTGTCTGTTTTTGCGTCCTCGAACATGTACCGATTAATAACTGAGGATAAGAGGAATAAAATGCATTTGCACCACTTTGTCGCAGGTTTTAACGCTATTATTAAGTTCAAACACACCGTGCCCACACTTATTATCTCATTAACATATTCCGCTTACAAAAGGAACAGGTTATACTGCTAATTCTATTTGTGTAATCGGAGCGAGACGAAATGTTCGACAAGACTTTCGCGGATGACGATTTGCTACTAAGAATGTTAATTGGCGTGTCGCAGCCGAATTTCACTTCATTTCGGAGTCAGATCGTCGTAAGATCGCGTCAAGGCTTTTCTGACCTTTCAGTTGAATTTCAATTCGCGTGTGAACCAATATCAAAATATAAAATCAATTCTAATTTTTACATTCAATCAGAGACAATGTTTTTCTCATAGATGATTTTTCTTTCTTTCTAAAAAAAAGAAATTTTCAAAATATAATCATATATTTTGATCTGACACACATTTCCTGAAAAATTTATTAATTAACAACGACGTATGTATTAATGATGTTATTCCTAACATGCAAATTGCTATATAAATTTCTTTATTTTTTTTAGCGCTGTTTAGAATGTGATTTATCACTGAATTATTAACTTTATCTTGATAAGCAAATCGCACACACACACACACACACACACATCCTTGACAGATACTTTATCTTCAGTGCGTAATGAGTAGTCGTTATGCATTATCAATATTACAGTTCTGATATCGAGCGATGATAGTTGTAGCGGACTTGCTAATAGAATTTGATTAGACCTCGCTATAGGGAATAGAATTCATGGAAATCAACATTTCTCCAAAACAACGGCAATGCGCGCTTGTCGTCGCGGACGTGCATCAATAATTGACGATTGTATCCTGCAATTCGTATGCGATGATGAAACTACGGAACCATTTGCTTCCCGTATAATCATGGTGAAATTATGACGAGTCTCGAGGAATCCATGTGTGGCTCTCTTAAACGCAGCCTTGCAACAGGAATGCGTAATTGATAACGGTCTCAGTATTCATAGCTCTTTCACTTCAGGTACTGTATGTTTTGTATCAATGCTCGCGCATACGGGGCGGAAATTGTGCGGTCGAACATAATATTGTGAAGCTTTCTCATATTGTTTGTCGAAATATATATACTTTGTTTCATAGAAACGATAATTCTTAGCAAACTGTCACGTATCTTTAACAAATTTTTGTACAGAGTATTTACTACGTTATTTATAAGTAAATAAAGTGCAAATAAGTTGCAAAATTAAAACTAAGATAGTCGATTCAATACTCGATCACCACTGCTTGACATTGAAGGGGTGATTGGATAAGAAGTCGACCTTATAGTTCGATATTGTATATTTTGTATAAAGTCGTCACAAGTTTTTCGAACAAAAAAAATTTTTTAAATCCTGTGAACAGCGTTATTTATTGTCTCGCATCGTTCTAAGTTGTTTGACTTATGTATACGGTACTTCAGACTGACTCAGCGACTTTCGGCTGAGAGAGAGATTTCGAAGAGACGACACACACACATCTCTCATCTAACACATATCACGCTTAATACTCTCTCTCTAAGCGAGTTTTCATCAAATGATCATTATCATCGAATCGGCTTCCACTTTAGGTATATAATTTTTTAGAGAGTATGTATAAAGTTCAATCCTCTTGATCGTGACTGACTCGAAGTGGGTCAGGACCTGTATCTTTCGGCGCACGCTGTTGTCCGCCGCTGAATGGAATCTCATTAACTTACAGACATTGCCTCGCAACACATGTGAGCATCTCGGCGTTTTCTCTGTGCGCGACGTTCGCCACTTTGTTCGTCAAAATATATTAACATATATATATATATATATATATATATATTTATATATAAAATAAACACAACTCTCTGATAAAGTACACGTTAATTAGTTTAATTAATGTCGGCATCTAGTTCAGTTCAAATGTTGTCAAGCGTCTTTGATATTTGATACTGCGCGTCAGAAATATTTCAGCGAGTTTTATTAATATAATTTATTGTCGCTGACGGTTGAATACAAGTAAAAATTACAAATTATCGGATTATGTTCTTCGATGTGAACGATTCTTTTCTCTTGAGAACATGACGCATGCCGGAAGATCGGGCACACAGGCATTGACCGTGATCGTGACTTTCGGTAAGTA